GGGTGTTCGGGGGTGTTGGGGGGTGTTATTGTTTTATGGTGGTTGGATGTATTGTTAAATTATTCATCTGACGTATTGAACTTTTTTTCCTTCTTCTTTTCAGTTGGACGTAGGTATCAAAGAAACGGATTAGTTCATTTTTACTATGATTTTGAGAAAAGAACCTTTTTCTCAGCGCTTCACCTATGGGCATTCGATATATCACATCTGGAGTTTGGTGGGGAATTTGGGGAGGGGGAAGGTTTAGGGACTGGAGGGGGAGGTTAGGGGATGAGGAAGGGAGGGGAAAGGAAAGCTTGGAGAGGCAGGTGGTTAGCGAGGGTGATGTATAGTAATAAATAACTTCGAATTTTGAAGAGGATAGTAGTATATTTAGGAACCCTTGCCTACAAATATATACTACCTAATTAGGTATATCTCAAAATGAAACCAAAGATTCATAATCATTACAACAGACCTCCTATTTATAGTCTCGCTTATAGTATTACGAATTACCTTCCTACCTCTTACGTCCCGTTCCTATTAAAACGTATCCCCTGCTTATATCCCAATATCATAATATCGCACGTCCAAGTCTTATTAGATATTGTTTCTCTTTTAGATAGGTAAATCTCTTAGGTTTATAGTATTTAGTTATAGAAATGGAATATTGGAAAATTAAAAGCCACGAAGAAAGTCATTTTTAGTATTCTACCTCTTATAGGTGTTATGAAAGGTATTTCTGGTTATAGCTAAGGGATAATTGATTTATTTATAGTGATTGCACTGTAAAACAGAAGATGTAAAAGTACGTTAGAGGCATAAGAACAGAAATCACGAACAGTAATAGCGGGTCTCCTTTGGAAATGATGCAACTCCAACAAACCCTAGGTAGGTAGTAACGAAAAAGAAAAACCTTAGTTTAATTCACAAAAAAGTCTATAACCTATGAAACTTTTCATCATTCATTATATACATTGGCACATTGCTTTTCCTCCCTTCAGAAAACTATCAAACCAACCGATTTCAATACGTCCTTTTCCCAGGAAATCTGCAAACGGAAAGTATCAAGGTAGTAAAGAAGCATAATTTTCAGATGCATCAAACGAAAGCGCAATCTAGTCAACGGTATCATGATGGGATACCTCCACCTCCTCCGTCTGATCAGTGCCATTTCCGTTCGTCATCTTTCCACCACCAGCCACTCTGCCTGTTGTGTTGCCAGCTTTCGCCTTGTCTATTGAGCCCCGAATGGCAATTTGAATGCTCTGGAAATCTGCTGACTTAGGCTTCAAGTTTTCTTTGTCGCTGTCGCTGCCCTTCTCCTCCTTGATACCCTTCTCCTCCTTGATACCCTTCTCCGCCTCCACATCCTTCTCTGAATCCAGAAGTTGAGCACCCTCCGCCTCTCCCTCCGACTTCTCAGGAACCTCATGAGCCTTCCACTCACTTCCTGGTTCAACATCCTCTTCCCATCTTCTCAATCCACCATCGACACCATCATCGCCCTCTCCACCAATAGTAACAGTCTTGAACTCAGGATTCATATATTCAGCAACAGCAGAAACCTCATTGAACCAGTCGATGACGGTTTTGTAGCCCTTGGGAAGCATCAACTCGCTGTAGTATGGCTCGTTGAGACTGAAACATGGACATCCATGGGCAGGGATACGTTTCGTTCCTTGCGGTCCGGCGAGGAACTGTCCACATGGTTCGTCGGAAACGAAGTATGCTCGACCACGCTGGGAAGATCGGTTAGTTATATGCTCTGTTATGTTATGTTAGCGAAGAAGAGGAAGTACGAACCTCATCCAACCATTTTCCAAAGTCGGCATTTCTCATGTCACCAGCATGGTAGTACGTAGCCAACGCAGCAAAAGCCGTAACTCTACTCCCCCACTTCCCAAAGTTCGCAAAGTCATCCATGAACTCGGCGAACTTGACAGCACCTTCAGAGACACCAATGACATTGATCTTCGCGGCAGGATCACAGTACTCATCAATCACCTTGTTGAAGATATAATTAACATGCTGAGCCGCGTCTCGATTTTCCGGAATCGAGTTCTTCTCCGCATCGAATCGAAAAGGAGGCTCCACCGCAGTCTTCTGTGGAAGAGCAAGCCAGCTTGTTTGAGTCATCGCTCGATTCAATCTTCGTGACCATCGTAGTTGACCCATGTTGGCCAGGATGATACCAGGGCATTCATCGTTGTCAGGGAAGGACTTTTGGGCTTTGATGTACTTGACGAGGTTTATGACAGAGCCCTCGTTGATTCCTCCTTTTCCGCCAATAATGCGATGTGCGAGAACGCCAATGTCTTGGGTATGCTCGTAGAAAAGGACAATGACTCTCTTCTTCGTGGCAATGTCGCCTGACATGTAGATCGGCAGATGAGGTTGTTGGAGGGTTGCACCGAGGGGGAGGAGAAGGGGACCAAGGCCGAGCGAGGAGAGGCGTTGGGCGATGAGCTTGCGGATGACTTCTATATCTTGTCAGGTTTGCAAGAGATTGGTGGGGAGTGAAATTACCATTCATAGCCTCGCGTTGCATGCAATTGTAACGATCATTCTTGGTCAAGAAGAATTTGAAGTAGGCTTTGGGGTTCTCAATGCTTCTGATCTCATCATTTGGAGCAATGAAGTATCTACGGATTGTTAGCTTCAAGCGCAGGGCGAATCATTGAGGGATGATGATACCCAAGCTCTTTCATGTCAGCCGGATAGACGGCGTCTTTGGGAAGACCAGCTGCCAGTCTGCGAAACATGTTGTTGTTGTTGTGGTATTCTTTTGTGGTGGTCTGGTGGCGTTGTGGTGGTGGTGATGGGCGGAGTTTGCTGTTGTGGACAAGAGAAGAGGATATAAATCGACGCGGCAGTGTTGAAGACCGCTGGGAGACGTGGTGAAGCGAGAATTGACCTTCCTATAGTCTTCAGATATAGAGATGCTGCAAGAGATGCCGATGCCGGTATCGGTGAATTGGAGTTGAGAATGTAGAAGGTGAAGCTTCCCTTATACTATATGTAAATTGAAGAAGCTGTTTGCTTGATTGAGGCGAGGCAGTGAGAGTGGACTTGTTTGTCGGCAACCCGCATGAGAACAACAATGTTGGAAGGCACAATTCAGACAACCTAGATGGAAAGAAAATCTTGGTTATTTTACGTGTATCCTTGAATTCTGTTTGGTCAAGCAGCTACCGTCCCAGAATATGGATTGTTCGTGGCGTCGGTGGCCGTTCCGACTTCCATATCAATATAGAGTGCCTTGAAAACGTGTACTATACAATCATGTCAATCAAAGCTTGCTAAACTGCTATGTTCGTGAATCCTCCGGTGCTTCTCCGAGTCACAATCGTCAACACTGAACTCGACAGAAATACGCAACTTGGTTTGTCCGAATGCATTGCTTCCCAAACTCCCAATCCCATCTATGAACAGTCCCTCCCATATTTTAAACTTCTCTCCCGCCCTCATCCCGAAACTACCAACTGGCCTTCTTCACACCCGGTAACTTCCCCGCCAGAGCATTCAATCGGAAATTATACTGTGGTCTAGTCAGCACATTGCTCCCCTCTCCTCCTCCCTCTCTACTCGGTAGCCCAAGCCTGAAGAACATACCCTCGTCATCTTAAAATCCCTCAGCACACCACGTCCTTTTCCACCTTCTATACACCGGTTTCTGATTTGCGTTGGGCGCGTGTAGCAGTGCATCTGTGCTAATTGCAATTGCGCCTGGACTCGGGTCCGCTGGGGCAGCGCCAGGTTGCGGATGATGTATCGAAGGGCTTGTCTGGAACAAAATAGCATCAATTGGTATAGAGGCTCCATTGGTCATGAGGAGAGGAGAAGGGATGTGAGGTGGTGGTGTAGGTACCTCTCAGGTTCATTCTCTGCAAAGACCTTCCGCTTGGTGTGGTCGCGAATCACTTTGACATTGACGAAGGAGCCGAGATCCAGCTTTTTGGCTCGGAACATTGACATTGTTGCGGTGTGTTGGTGGGGTGTCGAGGGGTGGTGGTTGAAGGTTGCGATGGAATTCCGATGTGGGAGTTGATGATGAGGGAAGTCTGGGCTGGGCAATGAGCAGGGATCTACTTCAGTAACGCACGCGCCACGTCTCATGGATATTTGGACTGAAAATTCATCGTTCGTTGCGCAACAACATCCTTCTACCTTTTATATCACACATTGTGTACAGATATCATATTCGCGCTCTTCTTAGAGAGATATATCAAGATGCCATCATAGCTTTGACGGGAATTTGCCGGCCCAAATTCTCTCTCCTCCTTCCCGATATCAACCTTGACGCCTGCGGCTGGCTAGAGTGTTAGATGGCATGAGTTATCACACAGGTGAAAAGTTGAAGATTGTGTATTCAAATGATACATATATAATATATTCATTCATTTTCCTGCTTACAACAGAACTCTCCCTTTCGAAGCCATGAGTCGACCTCAGACCTGGACCACAAGCTTCGTGGCACTCACCTCGCCCCTCAACATATCAAATACCTTCTGAGCCGCACCTATACCCCTATTGATAACTTGTACTTTTGGAGCCGACACAATAATTCCCTTCTCCATCGCTTCCTCCAGCCACCCATTAAAGAACCAGGCTCCCAGATCCGTACAATTCGTACCTAATCTGGATGTAACTACCAAAGAAGTTTCAACGTACTTAGGAACATCTATTGGCCACTCTAGTACCATCGCCATTTCACCTCCCTTTCTACCTTTGGCCAATACCTCACTCGTAAGTTAATAGCTTCCATTCTCACTAATAGAGTTAAACGCCTTGGTAATTTATATACCGGCGGTCTTAGCCGCTTTTAAGATTTCTAAAACTATATTTAAGTCGCGATAATCGAAGACCTTGGTAGCACTTATTGACTTAACAAACTCGTAATTCGAAGGACTTGTAGTAGCCTAAACTTGCAATCCCATCGCTTTCGCAACCTAATAAGCAGCAGAACTAACACTAGACGGAGCACCCTAGACAAGAAGGACATCCCTAGTAATTCTGGGCACCGCAGGCACCCTCGAAATCTTAAGGTTGTTAAAGAGACTTACGTAAGCCGTCGAAAAAGCTACGGGAAAAACAGAACCTTCCTTAAACGACATGAAATCCGGAATCCTCGTAGCTGTAATCTCTTTTAAAATGGTGTATGTTTGCTAAGCACTATAATCGATATCAGAATTATAGATTACTCCTGCGAACCCGGTAACTCGGTCTCCCTTCTTAAAGTGCGAGACTTGATCTCCGAGTTCGACTACCAAACCGCAGACGTCGCTGCCGAGGATATTAGGATACTTATCTACGAAGAAATCGTAGTCTTGGATTTTCCAATCGACGGGGTTGGCGGCGATTACGTGGTTACGGACTAGGATTTCATCGGGTCCGGGGGTGGGAATCGGTCGTGTTTGGAGAACTACTTTGGCTTTTGCGGTTGGCAGGACTGCTGCTTGGTTGGGTTTTGGAGAAGACATGACTTTGTGAGTTGGGAGTGAGGAACTGGTCTGTGATGTTGGTCAGATGGAACGAGTGTGTTGTGAATTACGTGAACTCAATACATCGCTGCATAGTTTATTCCATGTATGACGTATTATATAGACCAGAAGGGCTAACAGCTCGCTTCGCTACCCCCTACAAATGAAGCGAGCAAGCATTACTGAAAGGGTATAACCCTATAATATAGCCTTCTCAGCTAATCAATCTTATCTAATCCATATAAAAGTATATTATCAATCAATAAGTCGTAGCGAACTTAACAATTTAACTTCTTGAATAAAAAACTACTTAATATATAAAACTAGCTTATATTTAAGCTATAGATAAAAGTACTCTTACTAGAAGTATTTTCTGGCTCGGGAAGACGCTAGCCCTTTTACAAAACCTAGCTAAGTACATGTAAGTAATAATAGGTACGAGAAGGGAAGAGTGAATACCATCACGTGACTCTCAACTTTGCCTTTATCTAAATATTAAGGCAGAAATTGTTGCAAGTACCTATTACAGGGATCCAAAGGCAACCACCAACTGAGCCAACATAAGTAAGCTCCAGATACTTGTAGGCTCCCAACATCTCAAGGTCTCAGACCGACCGCCACCCAAAAAACAACTTCAACAGAATGGGTCAAGAAACCTCGCACAGCGATCCAAACGCACCTCCCAAGACCCTCTCATCTCGCTCACTCAAAGGAGTGGCCGAGTACATCCAAAATGGCCCACCAAAGAGAATCGTGGTCCTGACCGGCGCCGGGATATCAACATCCGCAGGCATACCCGACTTCCGCTCCCCAACAACCGGATTATACGCCAACCTCGCGCGTCTCAATCTGCCCCATCCAGAAGCCGTCTTCGACATCTCCTACTTCAGAGAACACCCAGAACCATTCTATATCCTCGCCAAAGAGCTGTATCCGGGTAAATTCTACCCGACAGTCGCTCACTCATTCGTCTCACTACTTGAGGAGAAATGCATGTTGGAGATGTTATTCACGCAGAATATCGACTGTTTGGAACGTCGGGCGGGCGTCCCGGATGAGAAGATTGTGGAGGCTCATGGGAGTTTTGCGTCGCAGAGGTGTATTGAGTGTAAGACTGAGTTCCCTGAAGATCTGATGAAGGAGGCTGTTATGAAGGGGGAGGTTCCTCATTGTCTTGTTCCGCAATGTAATGGGCTTGTCAAACCAGATATTGTGTTTTTTGGTGAAGCACTTCCGGGGAGATTTCATGAGCAGAGACATGTTCTTGAGTTTGCGGATTTACTTATCGTCATGGGAACGAGCTTGTCGGTTGCTCCTTTCGCGAGTCTCCCTCAGTTTGTGAGAGAAGGCGTGCCGAGAGTTTTGATCAATAAAGATCGTGTGGGTGGTATGGGGAGTCGGCCAGATGATGTGAGGATTCTTGGGGATTGTGATGCAGGTGTTAGGAAACTTGCCGATGCGCTGGGATGGCGTGAAGAACTCGAATCCATGTGGTCAGAGGTGAATGGCAAGCCCAGCGAGGAAGACAAAGAGAGATTGCGAGTGTTACGAGAAAGCATGACGAAGGATGAATTACTTGAAGAGGAGATTGCCAAGTTGACGGAAGAGGTGGATGAGACTTTGCATATGTCGAAAGACCACACGGCGCGAACGAATGAGCATCTACAGAAAGGTCCTTCGGCTAATGAAGAGAATTTGATGGCGCCGTTGAAGCTGGTTGGTGATTCAAAGGTTCCAACTGGAGAAAAAGCACCTGCCAGTACAGAGATAGACATTACCTTACCACATCATCGCTTGTCGGATTTCTAGAAGTCAACAAAGTACGGGGGAAAGGAGACCATAGAATTGGAGTTTTCTGCAAACCAGTCTTGGCGATTTCTATAGGGTGATTGTTGATAACTCCGAAATAATGTGGACATTTCTTTTCAAGAGCTTCTTCTTTTTCTATGGGCCGGTGCTTTACAGACACTCTTTACAAGACACAGGGGATAAAGTGTCTAACAGTCTTTTTGTCATGATGATTATATACGGGCTCATCTCAAAATTCAAATCAAGTAATTTTGTCGCATACTTTTCATCGATGTCAGGTGAGGAGCTGTGAATTTTTTATTATTTTACCTTTCACACCACCATTTTCATATACAGTACACTAGTCGGATAGTCCCATACGAATCTTCCTCGTAGTTTTTCCCGGGGCGCGTCTAAACATACAATTTCAACAACCACAATATCATCAGAATTACTCTACACCTCACCCCCTCACCTCTTCCCCTCCCTCTCAACCTCCTCCTTAATCCTCATCAACTCCCCCAAACAAACAACCTCAAACCCCCTCCCCCCCAGCCCCTCCAAAATCATCCCCAACTGCTCAACCGAATACCCCCTCCTATCATGCACAATAACCACACTCCCTGGTCTCACCCCCGCAACCACATGCCTCGCATTCCTTCTCGCGCTCCGAATCTGCGCATCATGTGGATACACACTCCCCAGCACCATCCTATACCCCACTCCCCTAACCCTCTGCACCATCTTCCTATTAAAAAACCCTGACCCCGGGCGGAAATACTTGTGCCCCGATGCGTTGGGCGGGAGTAACGCGTCTATGGCCCGGATTTGGGATTCTAATTCTGGGAGTGGGAGGGAGATGGAGGGTTCGTCGTGTTGGGCGTGGTTTCCTAGTTCGTTTCCTCCTGCGAGGATTTGGGAAAGGATGGGGTTTGTGTGGGGTGAGGGGATTTGAGAGCCGATTATGAAGAATGTTGCGGTTGCGTTGTGGGTGGCTAGGAGTGATAATAGAGCGGGCGTGTGTTGTGAGGGGGCGTCGTCGATGGTGAGGGCTACCACTTTTCTATGACCCGGTAATGGGAGGTGGAATATCACATCTGGGTTTCGGGCTTGGAGATATCTTATGAGAGCGTTGGGTGGTTTGTAGATGGTGTATGCGGTGAGCGCCGCGAGAAAGAGTAGGAGGATGAGAAGGAGGATGAGCATTTTTAGGGCCTGCATGAGGGGGTTTCTAGTGAGAGATGGGGTGTAGGGGTTCCCGCGCTCTTCATCGTCGATTTTGATGTGTTTCTTGGCCGCTTTGGGGGAGGAGATGAGGGTTGTGAGACGGGTTGCTGTGGAGGTTATGAGGCGGCGGAAGCGGCGGGTTAGGAGCATTGGGGTGTGAGGGTGCTGGGTGGGCTCATTTTATGATGAGGTTTAGAGGGCGAGAGAGGGTGTTTGATGAATACGGGATTTATGAGTGGGTGGTGATGAGTGCTGTGGTTGTGAGTTGAGATATATGAGATGAGGTTGCGGGTGGAGATGAGACGGATTGTGGTCTGTGCTGGGGTGTAGATGGACTCTGGATCTTGAATAACTTGCAATCACTTAACTCATAAAACAGTTTGGATAGGACTAAATCGCAAAGAGTTAGAGTGCGATAAATCTTCTTTCTAAGTTCTTCGCAATAACTCTTTTTATACTGGTTTCAGAGGGTTTGAAGTCAACGTCAGCGGAATAGATCGGAGATAACATCTCGTTATCTAATCGCCGAGCCTATTTTGCTGCTCAAGATCCCGAAGCACCAAGAATTCGCTTACAGTACTTGGTAAACAAAAGGTTGAAAGAAAAAACACTAATTTTTAAATGACAATTGGAATAACCCCCCTTGTTCCATAACGAAGCAGGATATTGTGGCTTCTGTAGAACAGAGGAATGGAAGGCCTACAACTTCACGAACACGGTACTTTGAACTTCACCAAGTCTCTCTCTCCCAATCAAGAACAACGACAATAACCTCTTTCCATTCACGAACTGTATTATTGTTTTAGCCACAGCCGCAGCTAACCTTGACAAAAAACTCTTCAACCACTTCAGAACCCAACTCAAACAACCTACAACCCCCAATCTCAAATCTTGACTCCAAACGTCAAAATGTCCACCACCCCCCAAACAACCACCAACACCAAATACTCCCACCAACTCCTCATCGGTCTCCATCTCTACGCCCTCCGCTACGAGCAACTCACCCAAGACACCGCCTCTCCACAACACAACCCCGCCGATATCCAGCTTCTCCTCACCGAGATGGTGAAGCTCGTTAAGATGATAAGAACTCGAAATGTTTCGAGGGAGGTATTACTTAAGTTTTATGAGGAACATGGGGGGGGATGAGCATTGGGCTTTTGGTGTGTTGTTTAGGGGTATTGATTCGAGTGTTTTGGGGAAGATGGTGATGCCTACTGGGAAGGAGGAGGAGGCGTTGGAGGGGATTTTGAGGGCGCTTGAGGGAAAGTAGATTTGCGCTTTGAGTTTTGCTGGGTCGTTTGGTGAGTGGGTGGATGGATATCTTGAATCTTGCTCTTGTTTTTGTGTTGGAGCTTGATCTGGGTGAGGGTTATTGTATCTAACTACTGGATAATTCAAATCTTTTTTTTTTGATAATATCTTTATGTCGTAACTCGTGATTTTTCTTTGTGTAAAATAGGTGATCTTATTTACTAGGAGACTTGACATAGGTGAACAATGACTTTATCAATAACAATGCACCATTTTTATTAGTAAGTTATTAGAAGGTCATAGCTGGTTTACACAGACTCTTCCTTCACTCTTTCTTAGCCAAGGATGCTGGAACTCGTAGATGGTTATTGAAATAGGCGACTTTGATTCTTAATTTTGATTGATGAATGCGAGTTAATATTGCATCAGATTATTTTAAGGATATCGTGTATTCACGATAACTCAAATTGAATTAGAACTATATATTGCAGAAGCGATCATTGAATTAGGAGAAAGAATTCGTTTCTGTTTTTGTATTTCTGTAATAAACTGTTGTCGTAATTCTATACTAGTTCTAGAATAACTAGTTTCATTGTTCTCTATTACCAAAGTCAATTAAAAGGTATCGGATTTGATAATTCTTTGTAATACGGATAATTGAAATGATTATTCCATGTTTTCTGCTATCCCTTACTTTCCACCTCAGTGAATTTTTACTACCAGTTTGATTCAGACTTGCGCACGATATAAACGTTTCGATATCGGGGGGTCCACGATAATTATCGTAGCGTAAATATATAGACGATACGATATCGGCTTTTTCACGATATCCGATATAATATCGATTATCGCTACACGTGAGGTGGAAAAACTGTAGATCCGACTCCGGACCAATTAGAACGCTTTATTCTTAAAACTCCTTAACTAATAACACTACTACTAATACTACCACTACCACTAAGTGCTACCACTTAGTTCTATACCGACTAGTTAGCTTCGGAGTATATAAAAAGTAACTTTTATTCGAAACTACTAAATCCTCTAATTAGTTAAAGAGTTATTACGTAATCACAAAACAACAAAACCCTACTACTATATAAGGAATACTTTTTATAAACTCGTACTCCGAAGTAAACTAGTAGTCGCCCTTAGAACAAGTATATTTTATTTAAACTTTTTTTTTGTCTCTTTACTCCTTTAATAATCGTATTCCTACCCTAGATTTACCCTGAAAATCTCCCTAAAATAAGCCTAAAATATACTAATTTTAGGTACAAAATATCGATATCGTCACTTTTTAGACGATAAATTATCGGTATCGTAGGAATATATATCGGCGACATATCGCGATAAATATCGTCATCGTGCCCAAGTCTGGTTTGATTGTCCAGATCACTAAGACCAAACCCCTTTCAGCGTTCTAGCTACCAGTAAGTGAAAGGTTACGGAGTACGGAGTAAGGGATAAAGTAAAGCTAACTAGGCGTATACAGAAAAATCTAAAAGGTCAGACGCGAGGTCTTCTCTACATTGTGTGCTTACGTATTCACGTTCTACATATGAACAATAAGACAGCACAAAGAGATGGCTGGGGTTTGCCATAGTATAAAGATTTTTGGCGGCAAACAATGTTTTCGCTTATAAACACCCTTTGTGCAAAGTATTCAGATTCGTTACATTAAAAACAGGGATACATTTCATTTGTAAACAGGCATATGGTAATTCTATATCAAGTATCTGAAATTCCTCCTAGAAACCATTCATTCAACTCAACAATTACTTTGTTAAGTCACTCAAACTCCAGAAATCCTTAACACAAATCACAAAATGAGCAATCGAAAGGATAACAGAGGCCGAAAGCCCTCCTCCAACCAACCCCACCGAGAAGGTTCCAATAGACTAAGAGTTTCCAATCAACCTCGTGGCTCTAACCAACCTCGTGGTTCTAATCAAGCACGTGGCATTGGAAAAGAAAACGTTGCCAAACTAGGTGAACCTCTCTTCGTCATCAACAACTGTGGTGGAAACGTGGACTCTCTAAAAGGCCGCCCTGACCCCCAACCTGGTCATGGCCTGCTGATTTTCGAGTTCCCTGAGACCGATCAGTTCAAGGGCTTCAACGTCCCAACTGGCACTCCTCTCCTAGATGCCCCTGTCCCTGGAAGAGTACTTCAAGAAGGAGAAGTCATTATCTCTGGTAGCAGCGAAGCATATCGCAACCAACCTTATGCCAAAGAATCTATGCGTAAGGCCGAAGAATTTGAACGTCTGGCAGCAGAAGCTCGACGGGCTCATCGTCAAAATCCTGGAGCACGACCTGTGGCCAACCAAGGAAGCTCTTCGTCCCAACCACCGCCAGAGGAGAGAGAAATTGTTGTTGCGCCACGTATAGAGTCGGCAGCAAGGGCTGCCATCTTTCAGCATAGAAAGGAAAAGAAATACGGACGCGATGAGTGATAAGCCGTTTTTTGATTTTCTTTTCGCTCTCTTTTTTTCTTAAGAAAAACTAAACAAAACTCAAAAAAAGTACATTCTACTCTCATCCCCTTACCCCCCACCCATAAAAGAATAGAACAAATTCCCCCTAAAAAGCAAAATCCATCTTACCTCTCACTAATTCCAGCATCCAGAACAACTTTGCTGCTTTACAGCAGATCGAACTTTCTTCCGCCCGTGAACTAATCCACCATGAAGTCTTTATTCCAAGATATATAATCTTACAAATTTGAACTTCATTTGCCTTCTCAACGTATAAACTCTTCTTATCTTCTCCTTAGCCAGTGCCCAATAGCAAAAACTTGTATGACGCCAGAGCAAGGGGTCAGATAAGGTGCAGTTCTTGCTATGGGATAATACGGAGTAAAAGCCCCTGATAGATATCCGCCTTTACCTCAAAATATACCTGGCAACGTAAACTTTCCGCGACAATGGCGTTCATTTCATATACGTTTGCGGGATTCTGAAACACATATTTTCTAGATCGGATAAGGGAAAGATACGGTTTTCCTACTGCACTTTCAAAACATTGCGTAGTATAAAGACGAATGGAGACTTTGATGGTGTGAAAGTCATCGCATCTGTCTCCCCTGAATACTTCTCATGGGGACAGTCACGTGCCATGGCCAACTCATTCCTGTGTCTGTGAGTGCTATCTATCGTAAAGATAGCATCAATGCTAGCTCGTCATTGGAAGACTTACGACTCAAAAATCTCGCTATTTTGATATATCACCTCCTCAAATCCTCATATGTGGTTCCACAACATATATCCGTAGAAATATCGCTTGCCTTTTTAGTACGTAGACGAATCAGAGCAATACGCAAACAGTGCTAGCGCATGTTGGTTCCAACACGACAAGTGATATTTTCACCATCTGCTGATCTATTGAAAGCCCCAAAACTTGGCGTTGCCAGAAATGGAGGAAGCAAAGAGTATGGTACTGCACACAAGGTATGGTAATTCACCGAAACTGGATGATATTATCTTTGGTAGCTGAAGTTCATTCGTCTCTAGAGACCTGAGCCAGGCAAGGAGATCACCAACACCAACACGAACACGAATATATTTACTGTCAGGAGAACGATATGCAGGGCTCAACTCCTCGTCTCTCTAGCCAAACGAATTTGGATATCACGAATCATGGGACCATGCACCGATGATCTTTATCATGTTCTCAAAATAATAGACATATTTCTGATGAATCTAATCCCATAGTGGTGAGATTCCACAAGAAAGCCGTGAATCACAGAATTGACGAATCAGAGCAGCAAGAAACAGTTGAATTTAATCCCTAGGAGTTTGTTAGCTCTTTGCCCAGGAAATCCATCTTGATTTTTGTGACACTTACTTCCCGTCTGGGAAGTATACTTCCCGTGTAGAAAGTGACAACTTCTCACATGCAAAAAGGACAAAACAATTTATCCCTAGATTCCCGCCAGAAGTTAAGCGAGGTTCTGGTTCTGGAGGTCTATAAATATCATGCCATATCCCCTCTTGCCAACCTTTTTCCTCCATCGATAACCACTTCAGGATACCGACTCTCGACTGCTACAAGTACTTCTTGACATAAAATCAACACTTATTACATCCTCTCAACGCTTACACCATCCTACCAACACTACTATCCAATCTCTGATCGCTAATATCAATCATGAAGCTCCTTCTCTTCCTCTTTGGCCTTGTTAATCTCTTCGCCTTTGTACGTACAGTACCTCGAGCCCTTTTGGACTATTCTATTCTAAATTTGTCCAACAGGCTTCCGCATCTCCCCTTGTCGCTGAATATAATGTTTCCAATCCTTTGGTAGGCCGTGACACTAGTGATAAGGTGAGTAACTCATTACTTCATCCCCGACTCCTGACTCCGGTACTGGAAGTATAACTGACAATATGAAGGTCACTCCGACACTCTGTACATGGGACACTGCCCAACCATGGGTTGAATCTTGGGACTTCAACGTTGGTATGTTTCCTCATGTTATAATCCTTCTAGCGCCCCCGGCTCAACACACCTAGGCATTGCAATTGACGACTTAGCCAAGCGCGGTGGCCGCTGCTATGGCAGAGCCAATGACTGCGGTCAGATCGCTTGCCATGGAGATGCTCACATTGTGCTTTGCAACGATAATGATTACGACATATATCCAGATTGTACATACCTTTCGACATACGCCGATGACATAAGAACAGATTGCCAGTATTTCTCGTGGACTTCTTCAAAGTGGTATACTGGAGGACAGAAGTTTGATACTGTAAGTACCTAAAATCTGTTTTCTTCCCATACATAGCTCCAACGGCCTACTGACCACCTCACCAGGACCACTACAACATCATTGTTAAGGATCCGAAAGGAGCGTGTTAGTTTTTTCTCGTGTGTTCAAATTATCGACTGTGTCTCTCTTGGATACATTCACCTTGAATTTCATACGCAAAACAAAGTCACCTAGCTGACTTCAAAAATGGTGTGGAAGAGTATTCATAACATGGTGGGGAGGTACTTAGGTGCTGATTTAAGATCTGGCTGGCGATTTATTGGTGCTGGCTGAACCAATGAAAGATGGGAGGTTAAGGAGAGCTTGTTACTTACTGGCTTTGTACAAGCTTCTTCATGCTTTACCTCGGACTACAGTATCAGACCTGCTCGAGATTCATAAGAAAGTTAACGCATATGCCTTGCCCTTTGCCATGTGATAGTGATAGTGATATGCTCTCTAAATTTCTTGAAAATATTACTATTCTATTGGAGGGACGCCCATGAATATCAACAAAATAGTGAAGTATGCAAGGCCTCTTCTACGACCAACTGCATGTGTCACCCCCACCTTAAATATGCGGGCTTCAGATTCCAGAATTTACAGAGTACAGCATTTCTTGGCTCCTTATCATTTCACTTGCAAATTCAAGGTGAATATGGACAAGAACCCTCTAAATTCACTCATGGGTAAGAGACGTGGTCGTTGCTATGTACACACCTCCCTTAGAATAATATTATCCTAAAAATCTCGTATTCTCGTATAACTAAAACTGTTATATAAAAGGTTTAGAATAACTGTCAACGCTGGCTTTTTGTTAGCTTAACTATACTAAGACAATCATTCTACTTATACTACAGGTTTAGTATACTATATTTTATATAGTATTTACAGAGTAATTACAAGGTGTCTTATAGTACTGTAAGAAGCCTAGCGATTGCTCTATACACGCTATCAAAAGTTATTATGCTAAAAGTCTGGCACAACTTAATTAATTGTCCCATTTTACATAGTTTAATAAGGAGTAAAAGGTATTAATTGTTCCGAACTATTGGTATAATTGATCTGGTTGTGCGAACTCTTTAGGATAATATATTTATCAGTTATAACTCAGGGGTGTACACAGTAATGCCCGCCTCTCTTACTTCTGCATTACACAAGGAACCAACAAACAAAGCAGCAGAAGTGGCGGGAATCATCTTTATCAACTCCCCTATAGCTCTCAGGTTCCCTCTTCTCATTCTTCTCATTCTTCTTTTCTCTCTTGATCATATCTTCATAAGAACTTTATTGGGTCAAGTATCCTACGAAGACTCTGTATTCATATACTCACTATGTTCGTGCGTTTACACTCTCCAGACGTGAGAACTGTAGGATTAACTTGGTGCTTAAACGAGGCTCTTAGGAATAAAAAACGATTGTCCTAATTCTCGGTTGTTGTTCCTACCTACAGAACAGAGAGCGTGATATGTACATCTGTCATCTGGTGCATGCTGTAGGATGCAAAGTTGACTAATAGCGGGGTCATCTGCAAGATCATGGGAAATATCTATTGAGGCCATTAGCGCCGAGTGCCGTAAAACCAGCTTTCGCATCCTACAGCGCTTAACTTTTCAACCTTACAACTACGCGACCTAACAACAACTTAGTCAAAATAGATATTAAATATTAGACTTTAAATATAACTTATCGAATTATATTCTTAATCGAATTTAGAGTTAGTTAACTTTTTTCTAATTAAAATGTTTACTAGAAAACAAGATATTCTAAAGAAGTCGGATTTCTTAGTTACTAAGCTGATTATTAAGCTTTTCTATAAACTTTAGAATATTTATTAGATAAGCAAACTTTATTTTATTTGTTTCTAACGAATAAGTTAAGTTATTTATTATTAATAATTAGATAGTAAATAATAGAGCCTATATAGTTAGGGTCAATTAAGCCTTATAAAGTCTTTATAATATTATAGTGCTAAATATTCCTGCCTCGTATTTGTAAGGTAGAAATCCAATAGCTAGGCCAGGGTCGGCTAAAACCGGCTACCTCCCTACGCTCCCCTACCCCTAGCCGCTTCCCGCTTAACTTTCTGCCTTATATAGATACGAGGCAGGAACTTCTAGTATAGTTAATAAATATTAAATTGAAATAAAAATATTTAGATTATAATTAGTGTCTGTCTATAGTTATACTACTAGAATCTAAATTCTAATATTTAATATTTATTTTTATTAAATTATTATAAGTGTTAGTATTTTGAAAGTTAAGCGCTATAGTATACAAAAGTTGGTTTTGCGGCACTTAGCACTAATGGCCCCAGTAAGAGGGGCCGCTGAGTGATATAGGCGGGCCTCAAAGATGCGGCAAATTCATTGGACTAAGTCTGACTAACCTGAAAATGCAGGGTCGCTCCTGTAAATACAGTAAACGATGACCTAACTTTCCAGGCATAGCGCCTGGAGCTTACCTGAGAGAACTGTTTATATAAGGCCATTGCCCTTTTACGAGAAGAATTTTCAAAAAGTGCCAGCTCAATCCCAGACGTTGTAGGGGTGATTCTTCAGTATCTTGTTTGTGTTTTTCAATATTTTTTACTCGTTTGATACAGCAGTGGGATCTAAAATAAGATTTATAAGGATCTGAATAAGGGTATGGAATCTGGTAAGCTCAAAATACTCCCTGAATCCTGTTGCTTAGAAATAGCCAGACTATGTGTAAGCTTACCTAGAAAGCAGTTTTCGAGTCCATTCCCGAAAGCGGTTCTACTCCCCTGGGCCATAATGATTCGTTTATACCTGATCTCCCACGAGACATTATCTCAGCATTCCGCAATTCAGCACCCAAATCTAGAAATGGATGTATAACCTGCAAGTAAGTCACCTCAAGCTCGTAATATCGGGTTCATAGCTGACCCATATTAGAACACGTAGGGTGAAATGCGATGAGGAGAAGCCGGAATGTAAACGGTAGGTGAAATCTCCTTCCATGTGCATACAAGTATGACTGATGTCGCTTAACAAAAATACAGGTGTCGCTCAAGTGGCCGCAAATGCCACGGCTATGCACCTCCAAAGCCCACCAACAAGAAAAAGACGAAGTATCTAAGACGTCAAGAAGAGCGAGAAACAGAAATACTTTCGTCCTTGGCCATTGTCATTCATCGAGGCCCGGCGATATGCAAAAGTCCCTCGGCAGACATCCAAGCAGATTCTTCTCAGCGTCGCAGCTTCCACTATTTCCGCTCTCGAAACTTCTCGCAGCTACCAGGGAATTTTGAACCCTACTTTTGGGATGATGTCATGCTTCAATTCAGCCACTCATATCCATCAATCCAACAATCTCTCATCGCCTTAAGCGCCATATACGTGTATCGTGGCGAGACGAAAGGATGTAGCCTCGTTCAATCGCAAAGACGTCAACATGCACTTCAACAATACAACATAGCCGTTCGCACACTAGTAGGCTACTTGTCTACTAGAAATCAGGATCCCAGAGTGGCACTGATATCGTGCCTAATTTTTATTTGAGTTGAGCGTCTCCAGAAGAATATCGAGGCTAGTGTTAAACACCTGGATAGTGGGATGAGGATCCTAACTTCACTGAAAGAATCTGGGACGTTGAAGATTCTTGATAGTAATGAAGTTGAACGAGACGATATATATGGGTCGCTTAGCCGCTCATTTACTCGTCTTCGAATCCAGGTCTCGATTCATGGAAGTACGACGGATGACTTTGCTGCTTCTTGTCCGTTGACGGATGGACTTAAACATGCGCCCATTCCACATACTTTCTCGAGTATTTTTGAATCGAGGATATCGCTGGATGCAATTTTTAGACAGATACTTGGATATCTTAGGAAGACTTTTGAGAAGTTCGGTGCAGCTGGGGACAGTAATCCGTTGAATGATGTGCTGCTCAGCTTTAAACTCCAGGACCACATACAGCAACTGGAACAATGGCACATGGCTACGACAAGAATGAGAACGATAGAACGCAAATTTGGCGAGATAGAGACAGAGAGCGAAGCGCTAGGGTATGCTTATCTCCAACTCTATCACATGTTGATCACTACCTGCGCAAAAGTCCTCTTTCAAGGCGAAATGATCTACGACCACCCCTCGCAACTAGCCACCTTCTCAGAGATGCTCTCGCTCTCCTCTCTCCTTCTCCACAACACCAAGCAACTACCACTATCCTTCGATATGGGCGTAATCCCCCCTCTTCTCTACGTCACCACCAGATGCCGAGTGCTCTCCTTACTCATGCGTGCCTTGGAATTACTAAAACTCGCACCTGAACAGGAGGGTCTCTGGGTCCGCGACAATTTCGTCAGAATCTGTGAATGGAAAATTGCTACGGAAGAAGCTGGACGTGGGGATTTAGAAAACACGCAGCCATTGCCTGAGTCGGTTAGGATCTATCAGGAACAAATATTTTCGGCTGGGAACGGGGAGAGGGCGCGTGTTACTTATAGACAAGGACCTTTCTCGGTAGATGGGAGGAAGGGGGAGGAGATGGTGGATTATATTGATGCGCCTGAGTGTGTGGGGAGGTTGTTGATGACAATGTATACTGGACATTGGCAGTTATTGTGCCGGCTAGTGGGTTGCTGTGCGAATTAAATATCACTCCCATTTCACGTATTTAGAAAATAGGTATAACGCACTTGTTTTGCTGAGTTCATTACTCCAATGATGATACTAAATTAGCGACATATCTGTTTGGGAACAGTATTACATGCCAATTGATTACTCTTACCTTACTCTTACAATACTATCGAAGGTCGCTGTATACTCGAGTAGCATTATGAGGATTATACAACCTATAACCATGAAAAATAGCAGCGAGTTCTAGCTAATTAACAAAACAGAATTAAGCGAAAGGTGAGGAGGGTATAAAAATAGTAAGTACTAAAATCCTTGGGCACTAACTTACGGCAGATCAAATAGATAGTTAAGCAGGAAGTAGACATAGTAAACTTATCGAATTCACTCTAAAGATATAAGTAGCTATATAAGAGTCTATCTTGATTTTCGCTAAGGTTTGGAAACCTTCACTACACTCTCAGCCTTTACTACACTTTCAGTCTTTGACAGGTATTTTCTAAGAATAGAAAACAAGAAAAGTGTTCTTTTTTTCCTACTAGCGTAAAGGAAATTGAAATATTCAAATTCTTTTAAATCTTTCAAATCGGAGACTCACTCGAATGCAGATGACACATTATGGTTAGTGTTTTCTTGTAAGTAAAATTCACTAAACCTTCTCTTACGTAACCAAGGAAAAAACGGAGTGAATGAAAGGTTTTTGGTGTGAAGATAGACTGCTTTCAAGTTTTCTATATAGTATGTAGTGTCCCAAGTATTAATATGTATCAAATAATGGTACGTCCTTTGGGTTTGGAAAGCGCATCTAAGCACGGACTATGTATATTCTATCCCATCTCTGGTTGAGTACCTAGGTAGCCTCTATATTTTAGGACAACTATCTTATATCATTCGAGAATTTCTATTCAATTGTCTTTCAGTTCAACTAAGTACCTGTAGATTAGTGAAATAGTTTGGATTATAAGTAAAGCTAGTAGAACAGGATTCTCTGCAACTTATAGGCACTGCTTGTCCATGTGGAGGGGTCGGTTGCGGGGCGACACGGGGATCCTGCTGCACACGCCAATCAGGCCCCCCGCAAAGTCATCATGCAGTATTTTGCAGAACCCACCTAAACTACTGTATGGGATTGCGATCGCAATCTAGACTTAACACCATTAACTATTAGCACTGGCTGCTATCGACATGTTGACTGCACGCAGAGCTACCCCAAAGGCCTGTCAATCCTGTCGTCGTCACCTCCTTTCTATTTTTAAAAATGGCTTCACGAGTACCACGCCCCATGCCTCGAGGGCACGATATACCACAGCTCTGCGACCTCGTCCACAAACCCTAGGTGCATGTCACAACCCAACCATACGGCGATTCACAGCTTCGACTCAGCTTTCGAAAGACGTAGAACCTCAATTGCCAGATACCAGTGTCCATGATCCTCCTCCGCTCGACATTGAGCTCGAAGAAGAGCTGGAAGAGCTGGGAGAGCTGGGAGAACTTCCCCAAGGCCAGCTGCTGGCCGAAGAGTATTTTGAGGACGAACAAACTGCTTTTACAGAGACCGTGGCAAAGGAACCATCCCCGGCAGAAGCCCTCGAGTCGATTGTTAGACAAGCAAGGCAAACATTTGGAGAAACCCTACCAAAGGACTATTTGTCGGCCGAGGAGTATATCCTCTACGAACGATTATACGGTCCGCCATTGCGAGAGACACAAGCAGATGATTTGGAATACATAGCTGGAGGGGAAGAAGAAGTGGAAGATTCAAAAGTCCGAAATGTTCTGTTGCAGGAAAATGCTGCCGGGGAATTCGAGGAGGTGGAACTAGATCCTGGAATCGAATTTTCCTACACAGTCACAGAGGATTTAGCAGAAGGCGGATTGCGTTTCGAGGTGGCCGATGGTCTGCAGCCTGGCGATGAAGTTGATGGTGGCAAATCATTCGATGGTTCAACTGATTTCAGTGCCAGTATACCACCGGAAGAGGAAACAAACGTGAATATACAGGGGAAGAATCAACGAGAGATCGATGCTATCAAGGAATTACAGAAGGGAATGGCTGCTGCCAAAGCGCAACCGATCGAGGAGCCAGAGGAAGAAGAGGAGGAATGGGAAGAGGAAGAAGAAATAGAGGAGGAGGAGGAGGAGGAGGAATACAACGATAACGATCCATACCTTGATTCCAATACCGTTCGAACGCACCCTCATACTATGACTGCGAGATCTGGGACACATCCATCGACCATATTTCTACCCCAACAGCAATTTATTGCACCAATTACGGAACTGTTGGAGAGGACAAATATGAAGCACGTTGCAGAGGCTGCTCAGAATGCGTTTGGTGGTCCCGGACTCCCATTTTCTTCCTCTGTACCTGCATCGAAAAAACATTTGCCACAAAATCATATTCCATTGGATGCAGCGCAACATAGAATGACGGATATGGAGGCCGATGCATACATGAGTGCTGTCATGCCAGGAACATATGCTATGAGCGTGAGTACATTGGTAGAGGTTAGAAAAAGACTGGGAACCAATTGGCTACGAAACCTACTTCTAAGAAAGGGTGTGGGTCCAAGAGTTATGGATGCTGGTGCTGCAGGTACTGGTGTTCTTGCCTGGAGGGAAATGGCGCAAGCTGAGTGGGATGTCATGAGAGAAGAAGATCTTGTCAAAGAGCCAGAGGCACCGGCTGGAAAAACAACGGTCCTTACAGGCGCCGATACTTTGCGACATAGAATATCACGACTCCTCGATAACACTACTTTCTTACCTCGTCTTCCAGATTATGTTCATTCTGCTGAATCAGAGAAACATCTTGATGGAGCTACCCCGCAGCCCCGAAAACATTACGACATTATCATTGCCCCTCATGCCTTGTTCCATTTCAAAGAAGAATACAGAAGAAAAAATGTTGTTCAGAATCTCTGGTCTCTGCTTGAGCCCAAGGGAGGAGTTCTCATTCTTATTGAAAAGGGACTCCCGAGAGGATTTGAAGCCATTGCTGGTGCCCGTTCTCTTCTACTCGAGAAACACATAGCATCGCCTGGTGACACCATGACTGAAAATGAAATCGAATCTCCAGCCTCTGATGCAACCCGATTTTCAGAGAAGGAAGAAGGCATGATCATCGCACCATGCACCACCCACACGAAATGCCCTATGTACCTCACGCCCGGTCTCAGTTCCGGTAGAAAAGACTTTTGTCACTTTGGTCAGCGCTTCATCCGACCACCATTTCTCCAAAAGGTCTTAGGGGCCTCCCGACGCAACCATGAAGATGCGAAATTCAGCTACCTCGCGGTACGCCGTGGTATCGATCTTCGCAAACATAAAAAATCCATTCTACAAGGCAATGCAGCCACCGATCAGGCGTTTGAAGGCTACGAGGAACATGACCTCCCGGCATCGGAAATGGCAGCTGCTGGTCTCGAACCAAGCGATGTGAAATTTCACTCCCTCTCCCTCCCTCGTGCCGTCCTCCCACCACTCAAAGGACGCGGACACGTCACTTTGGATCTCTGTACCCCATCCGGCCAACTCGAGCGTTGGACCGTCCCAAGAAGTTTCAGCAAAACAGCCTATCGAGATGCGCGTAAATCTCGCTGGGGAGATCTCTGGGCCCTAGGTGCGAAGACGAGGGTTGTTCGTCAACCGAGACTTGGGAGACCGGCTGAAGTCGATGGGCGGGGTGGCAAAATGAAGGGGATAAGAGATGGGAAGATTGGGAAGGGTGGGAAGAAGGTTAAGAAGAATAAATTTGATATTATCATGGGGCCTGAGGGCTTCAGGGGAATCAAGGAGGATAGGGAGACGAGTAAGTTTGTTAAGAGAGAGAAGAGGACGAAGGGAGGTAGGGTTTGGAAACAGCCTAAGCCTATTACTGAGGAGGATTTGGGATGAGTATCTTGTTGAGATGATAAAATGTACAGTATGAAAGAAAAGGATGGGGTTGTATGGAGGGATGGCGTGGTGGGAACTCGTACTCTACTCGGTTTTGGGGATTTGTAGTTATTTGGATGATAGAATGTACGGGATGGAAAATGGATAGTGGAATGTTGACTTGTGTATTGATTGAAATCATAGCACATCTGTCAGAGCTTAAAAATGAAAATGAAACAAAAGGTTTATATGAAGACTCGGCTTTTTTGGAGAATCGAAACTGGTGCTCATCTGGAATTGATGGTCTGTCAGTCCTCTTCTTCTTCTCTCTTCTCTTACATTCTCACCCAACAGTCAGTATACTAAACCATACCTGCGAGACTCGGTTTCCTATCCGCTTTCTATCCGTTCACCTACTCGTTCTCATATTTCAGCAAAACCCTAGAGGCTAAAAATTTCGAATCGGAAATGGATGGGAATTCTGGGATTCCCTTTTGGGTTGTTGGGAGGGAGGTGGGAGGAGGGAGCGAGGCGTCTTTCTTTTCTTTTTCTTTTGGATAGATTGTGGTAAGAGGGTGTTGGGGGTAATTGGGTAGGAGGGTAATTGGGTAGGATGGATGGTATATGGTGTATGGTGTATGGTGTGTGGTATTGTATGTTATTGTATGTGGTATTGTATGTGGTATTGTATGTGGTATGTGGTATTGTGATGAGGATATTTTTGGTAGGTGTGTTGGGGGATGGGGGGACGGGGGCGATGGGGGATGGGAGGTTGTAAGAAATGGAAATTTTGGAGATGGGTAGCGTAGCTTAGTGGGTTTAGGCAACGTTCGGCATATGGAACCATATTCCATGGAAGTATTCTATTCTATTCCACCTTGAATCCTTCTAGAGTTTGTATAAAATGGAAGGATTCCTTCTATTAGTAGGCTCTGGAAATTCTTTGGAATCTATGGATTTCTATATATAGTGAATATTTCTATGTACTTTCAAGTGAATACGGTATTTAAAAAAAGTGGATGGGGACCTCCACGCGATATGTCTAGGGTATTCTATACCTATATATGTTACTCGCACTCTTAGGGAACTCTTTCTTACTCCATATATATAAAGGCGCTATTGTGACTAAATAGGAGCTTCCTATTAGCCTACTGACATAGGACACATTTTACGTGTTATATGACGAATTCTATATGGAAATTCTATGTATTCTATGGAGTAGAGGCCTCTGGAATCGAATGGAATTCCAGTTGCCGAACGTTGGGTTTAGGGGTTTAGATATGGTAACTTGATAACATCCAGATATTATAGGATAATTTACCGATGGCGTGGGAGATCCAATAGTATCTTTGGTTCCTTGTGATGAATAGAGGGGATGGCGATGGGGATCAATCGAATGATGTTACGGAAGAAGGTTTAGAAACGCAAATGGAAATACTAGAGCTTTTCCTAACTAACCTCTTCTTCTTATTTAGGAAGAGAGATAGCTGGGATATTAGAATTTAGAAAAGCGTTATAAAAAACCACTCAACAACTCGAGTAATACTCAGAGTGACTCTGAGTTGAGTTGAGTTGAGTTGAGTTGAGTTGAGTAGTGAATTTGACTTCTCGAGTACTACTTCAGTAGTACTCAACTCAACTCATTTACAACGCTGATTTAGAAGGGACGATTCAGGAAGGCGTAGAGGAGATAGCATCTGGAAGATGGGAGGAGAAAAAATAAAGCTGTTTTGGCTATTATGTTTTATGGAGGAAGAGGTGATGGCGAGAGCGTGGTAAAGTTAAGTTTGGAAATATGAATATAAATGAGTTTCCAGTTCATATTAAAGGATGTCTTCCTTATACTTCTATCTCGTTCTCAAATTCTTATCTTCTTGCAGCAAAGGAACTGGCGAGGTGGTAGACACTAGAAAATAGATGAGTTCTTCTCCTTCATTAATGAGTCTCCTTGATAAGGGCTTGTATAGGTAGATACAAATTTTAACACGTTCTCTGCTTCTTTCCTCAAGTTTTACCGCAGCGACGTGTTGAAATGTTCACATGTAAGATTTACCATGAAGTTCTGTTCTGTTTAGTAGGTACTGTAGGATTACCTATTTGAGAGCCAAACGTTCCGGTTCCGAATCTTTGGGTCTGGATGCACTTGACTCGGACCGAGTCGATAGTTAGTCCCGCCCGCTAATTCAACTGGTTGATACCGGTGTTTTTTCTGAATCAGGAGCGCAGCGACTTAGTGTAGCGACTTGGACGACTTGGACGACTTGATTACAAGCTGAAGAGCGTAAACAGTTAGTGTAGTATAAGTTGATAGATAGTAGTTAGTCTTGCGAAGTTGATTAGTCCTGTGATTAATGTACTAACTCAGAAAGATAAGTGGATTGAAAGTAGATTGTATAACTATTATACCAAAGTATCCCGAAGGACGTCTACAAAATACTTATTTTTAATTCAAATACGCCCTCTGAGTCTGAATGCCGCCCTCCCTCTACTCCTTACCTAACTTGTGGTCCTAGTTAGCGAACTTAGGTTAGCTTAACTTAAAACCCGATTCTCGGACCTCGAGCCTCCGAGTTGAAGAGGCCCGTGGAGAATGGACCAGCTAACTCCTAGCTTATCATCGGCTTTCCGTTTCACTGGGTACCTACATCCTACCTCCACTGGACAGGTATACGCAGAAAAGGGGGCTATGCACGTGGCACGCTTGTAAACCAAACATAGACAAACTCATCAAGCTACACCCGTTTTGTCTTGACACATTAGGCTAGGATGGCACCAATCCAACTGCAAACCTCTGTCCCTTTTACTCCGCCGAGTTTGCACAGGCTGGTTCGTCTGAGAAGTTAGAAGCTGAGAATTGTTCGCAGAAAGACTGGAAGAAGGGGAAAGGGCAGCACGGACGAAGCGTTTGAACGGTGGCAGAAAGGTCAAACTCGTCCAGTTTGATGAGCAGAATCGAACATGGGATGGTGTAACGCACGCAACGCAATGAACGGGCTTCCCCGCAAATACATAAGCATTATTGCCCATGTTAATGCTATGTTTGGAGAGAGAGAGGCTTGTTTGTGAGAAGTTGAAGGCTATAATAGTAGATACTGTACTTACACGTGGTGCAGCTACTGCTTAGATGATAATTGTGCAGAGTTTACTCGTCACTCTTGAAGAATGAACTTGCTAATTCAATGGCTGAAGAAAGTGATGGATGGGGAGGAAGAGAAATGTACGGCAGAAGAGATAAAGAAAAGAAAGGCCAGGGATGTATCATGATGGGAGAGTGTACAAAAATACTGGTACATAAGATAAGATAGAAATAAAACGAAACGTGATCTTCGTTCAGGTTTAAAAAAGCAGGCAAGCCTTGAAGCTTGGATACCTCGACTACTGAGCTCGGATGGAATTCTCCCGTAGCGTGATCGACTTAATACAGTCAGTACCTGCTGTAAATAATACCGGTATAGAACTCAGTGGTGAGGGGTTACTTTGACATTAGGTTCTCAAGACGAATTGTTTTCAGAGAAAATAAAGAAGAGCAAATGAATCAATTTTGGAAAAAAAGAATAATAATATAAGAAAGTCGCACGCGGGCGCGCGATGGATGGAAAGTGGGCGGCTATTCATAGTGCCTCTCGGAGATGCCAATAGTACCTCATTAATTGAATCTTTACAGAAAATTTCGGACACGGGATCCTTCCCGTTCTGCGAAAGATCCATCCTTTTCCAATCCCCATCCCCATTCCTATCCCAAATCCCGAAAGCTGCCCTCCCATCCCGACGCACAGATAATCTTTGTGCCACGCGACAAAGTAACTGTTGTACATCAAATACGTCAAGACTACATATACGAACAGCCATCTACGTGGCTGTGCGAGTCTTTTGATGTATTGATGTGTTGGTTTGCCAGCTTTTTTTCCCGAGTGGAATGTAATGTTCCAATGTGCTATGATTTGATTTGGCAGGAGAGGGGAAGAGGGGGAGGAAATTGACATTAGCCACGTGCTCTAGTCAGGTACACTCACCGTACATTCAATACACACCGCAGCGTACTTTAAATACAGGTAATCCCCGTCAGCTCCGTCGTCCATTAAATTCCAATTCCGGCATGGCCCCGAGAATAAATGAAAAACACTGTACGAATAATAAATAGACAAATAATTGTCCGAGAAGAATAATGCACGGTAATGCCCACTTCACGTGCAATACTTTTGAAATTATGAAGAGCTACAATTAAGCAGTTTACATAAGATCAAGGGCCTATAAAAGGACGAACGGGATGCGACCAGTGAGACGCCCACGGGTTTCATGCGTCAACAAGATCTGATAGACAAGCGAGAAGCGTGGCGTGTTGGCGGCGCAGGCACCGCTCTAGCGCCAGGGCGTATGAGTGTGATGGCAGGGGCAGGGCCCAGCAGGGACTGTGACAGGGTGGGACGGGATTTAAGATTGCAGGTGCGACGAACTGTCTGTTTTCCCCTCACCCTCCTGGGAAATCGCTCACAGGTGAGAAAGTTGTAGAGGAGATAGTCGGTCTGTGAGTGCGCCGAGTGTGCTTTTGATGAAGATTTTCAGCGCCATGGCAGCCACTGAAGAGTACTAAAGATGGAATTATTAAGGAGGTATGGGGTTGGGGTTGGGTTGGGGTTGGTTGGTCTATCGTCTATGGTCACAAGCGAGTCGCGATGAGACGGAATTGATTTGCGATGAATTCATTGGGGACAAAGACATTCGTCTCGAGCCTTGTATATATGCTCATGCTGCACTCAAAACGCACTCTACTCCCTCCTGCTCTCTTTCTCTTTCCTGCTTTTCTGTGGTCGTTACTCGCTACTCGTTTCTGGAACCGGATTCCATTCGTTACTTCTCTACTGATCTTCACATTCCCATCCAGCATAACGAGTCAAGTAGGCGCAGTGCGTCGTGCCCGCAGCCCTAGTGTTGTGACTCCGAGATCAACACCTTAAAATTCTGCCCAGCAATCAAAATTTAGAATTAGAAGTAGGACTTAGCTTAGCGAACCTTGCCCTGAAGCTCCCTCTCGGCACTACTGCTCACTGGCCCGTCCCTGCCCCTTCCCCACACAACGCCCAAATTTGTCCCATCAGCATCTGCCTCCAAAAGTACCACGAAGCCCATCCCCTTCCTTTGAGTTCTCATCCTCGCTCCGAATCCTCCTACCTACATCAACATCCTTTACTCACATACCTACGGTATCCTACCCCTACAGACTTCGTTGGCAAAGTCTAAACATCGCAACATCATCATATCTTTGAAAGAGTCTTTCATTCATATCAACAAATCTTTATCTTGATAAAGAAAGAATAGGATACCACGCCAGCACGATTGGATTCACGTCACTCATTCATTGTTGAACCCACCTCATTGTCGCAAAACCGTCACAAAGACAACAAGTCTAGAATATCCTCACAATAAGGAAGACAATACCTTTATCCCTCTTGCGCATATGAGTCGGATATCAATCTAGATCCCATCGATTCTTCAGAATAAACAGAACTATCGTTATAACCAACAAGATTTAAATCATACACAACAATCATTCAAAATGCGCGTGTCAACATTTGCAACCTTGGCTCTCATGCCACTCCTCGCTCTCGCGACTGAACAGTATCAACAACCGACAACTCCACAGCCGACAACTCAAACTTCCACCCAGACGATGACGAAAACCATTACCGTCTCCGAGGTTGTCGCAACTGTCACTTCTACTTCGTCGCGATCATCTACCAGCACCTCCTCTTCCTCTTCCTCTTCCTCAACCTCCACTTCCTCCTCGTCTACTTCCACCCCAGCAGCCTCAACCTTCACTCCACCAGTGAGCGTTGGAACAATCTCAAAGTACACCAGCGCTGCTACTGGAACCGGAGGTATCATGGCCGCACCAACACCCGCATCTTCGCTCCTCCCAATATCAACCGTGAACAGCGGTGCAGGAAACTTGAAGATGGGAAGTGCCGGTTTGGTAGTCGCTGTTGTAATAGCTGCTGGATTCTTGTAAACTCCCTCACCATCTACTCCCTTGCGCTCACAAGACCACCTCATCGCAAGCGAAATCACAACAACACACAACAATCATCACACCCAACAACTCTCCACCTCTCACACGATGACGATAATCCATATACCCACCACACCTATCATCACTTCTTTACGAGCTCTCACGCACGCTTACGAATTTGCAATTTTTTGGAAGGCTACAAAACGTTAAACCCCTTTTTTATACCCCCAGATATTTCAATTCAATTCGCAATTTTTCAATTCTTCAACCAAAATCTTTAACTTTTATCAATCTTCAATATTTCAATTCACCCATACCCCGTTCAACAAAATGGACACCTAGTGTGCTTTTTTCTCATTTGCGGCCCTTGCGGCTAATCATTTTTCACCGCCGAGTGGCTTTTCTTTGGTGGACCGATGTTTTTTTTTCATTCGGAGGCAATGCTTTTTTTTGGTGGATACTTTTGGAGTGGGGTGGATCCATTTTGTTTTTTTGAAAATTTTTCCAGGGCGAAGGGATTATTGGATGAATGATATCACAGAAAAGGGGGGATCCTGGTGTATAGGATGGGATAGGTGTTTTTTGTGTATAGTGTAGTATTAGGTAGCTATTTTATAGCTAACTTCCTATTTTTATTTCTTTACACTTATCTTTTCTCTTCTTTTTGTTATGTTATATTCACTTCACTTTATTTGAATGGAACAATGGTACACTGTGTGGACATTAATTCTATACTTACTTACCCTTCCCCCCTTTCTCTCTCTAAAACCTGTATCCCGTGATTACCGTTAATAATCTTACCTATACTTCTGCACCCATCGCTGCTTAGTTGAATCTCCTTTTCCCCTTTGTTAGAACACATAGAATACAAAGCCGATTCTATCCCCCCCTAATATAAACGGCACAATGCTTTTTCCTATCTTTCACCCTCTCTCCCTTTCTTTGCCAATTAAGAGGAAAAGAAAGAAGGCAGCTAGTAGATATGATTCCAACTAAGCTTCTCTAATATTAGTAAAGCCTTAGTTCTCTTTACTCTCTTTGTTCTAATTCTACGTCTAGTCAGCGCTCGGCAAATGGAACCTATTCCATAGAAATCTAGTGATTCAATTCTGTAAGGAATAATTCAGAGCACTTTGGAAAAGGAATGGAATAGTACACTAAAATCTAAATAGCCTCTGGAATTCCATTAAAGCAATTTTAACTAGCAAGATTCGGCACATGGAACTATATTCTATAGAATTATTCTATTCTATTCTACCTAATATCTTTCCAGAGCTTATATGAAATAGAAAGATTACTTCCATTAGTAGGCTCTAGAAATTCTATAGAATCCATAGAATTCTACTTATAGTAAATATTTATATATATTTAGGTAAATACTATATCTAGGTAGGTGTGAGAGGCCAGACCTCGAATAGCTCAAAGGTGTGGTTTCGAATATTCAATTAAGAAGTGCGTGAAGACTACATACATGCAATCTCTTCCTCTATATATAGAGAGAGGAAGAGTTTCTGGAGTCTTCCAAGAAACTGTTTGACAAATACGTGACGTCAAAAGAATGGAGTAGAAAAGTGTAGAAAAGGAGAAACCAATTTAGCAGTGGAGCAATGGCCAATGCTGAGCGGGGACTTTGGTCAGTGCTTAGCGAGGGCATGGCCCGAGCCTCCATCATGGGTTCCAACCCTCACAGTAGGGTAGATAGGGACATTCACGTAATATACCTAAGGGCACTCTACCTATACTTATATACGTTATTTAAACTCCTAGGGACTTTCTCCCTCCTATCTATATACGGGGGTACAATTACGACTAAACAGAAACTTCCTATTAGCCTACTAGACATCTATAGATAGGATATATTGTACGTGTTATATAACGAATTCTATATATTCTATAGAATATATACCTCTAGAATAGATTCCTTCTATAAATATACTAAATATGATAGAATTCTTCTAGAGAAGGGCTCTGGAACCGAATGGAATTCCAGTTACTGAACGTTGTTAACTAATCAGAGAGCAGTATTTTAATATTTAAAAGGAGTGAATATTAATTAGCTACTCGAGTATAGGACTATACTGAAATAACATAACTCGCTATAATTGTATTAACTTCTTCGTCGCTTAATTCCTTCAAACCCTTATTAAGAATAATACCCTAATCTCAAAGGAAGGTATGGAATGAAATGATTCCAGGTCTTGTTATAAATAGAATGGAATTTTTCAGAGGGGGCCAGGGAATATAGAATTTTACATAATAATGTAGTTTACGGGACAAAGAAGAACTCGTTAGATTATTAGATAAACAACAGCGTTCGGCAACTGGAATTCTATTCCGTTCCGCGACCCCCCTCTAGAGGGATTCTATTCCATTCACTATATCAATAGAAGGATTCCATTCCAGACCCCCTTGATCCATGGAATTTCTAGAATTTCTAGCTAGAATTCACATAACCCGGACATGTATCTACCCTCTCCGGTAGACTAATAGGAAGTCTCTATTTAGATTAAGCGAGGGTGATATATAGTGAGATAATAAGGTATGTCATATAAAGGTTACCCTAACTACCTAGGTACTCCTGGTAGAGTACGCATCACCAAACATCTAATTCTTTCAATCTTAGTTTCATACCATTCTTAGGCTTCGTAGTAATAACCCCAGCTGGAACAGCAACCTCCGACTTATCAGCCATTTCCCATTCAAAGCCACCTACGAAGACAGCTACAAGAGCTTTCAATTCACTCTTCGCAAACTTCTCGCCAATGCAACTCCTGCTTCCATGCAGAAACGTGAGATTGCAGTAATTATTTCCCATCATACCGCCATGGTTGTTAATTGTTCCATCCTTATCAATCCATCGTTCCGGATTGAATACAAGCGCATCTGCGCCCCAGAGGGTGGTTGAACGATTGATTGCCCAGGGCACGATTTGAATACGTGTTCCGAGTGGGATCACTTGATTTGAAATATAGGTTTCTCGGATTGTGGTACGAATTGTAGAGGGGACGGAGGGGTAGAGACGGAGGACTTCTTGGGTTACACCATGGAGAAGGGGTAGCGAGTCGAGGATTGTGGCGAGATCATATGTTGGGTCTTGGGAGGAAGTATGAGGGAGGTTGGACCGGACTTCTTCGCGAAGGCGGGTTTGTATTTCGGGGTTTTTGGCGAGGAGGTAGGCTGCCCACGCGAATGCTGAACTCGTAGTTTCGTGTCTGATTGGAGTTAGTTATTATCTTAGATAATACAGGCAAGCAAGACATACCCGGCTGCAATGAATGTCAACAGCTGATCTATCAAGGTCTCATCACTGAAACAGTTCGACTTGATCAGCAATGATAAAATATCGAGCTGTTCAACACTCCCCTTCTTCATGACCTCTTTTTTCTGTTGCAAAAACTCAAGACAAAACTCCCTCAACGTGCCCGTAGTTGCCATCAGTCGTTCATTGAGACGCCAAGGCATCCAAGATACCAACTTGCGCCCAAAGATCAGATTACAGACAAAATAAACGAGTTTTTCCGAAGTCGGTTCCAGGAGTTCTTCATAGTTCTTGACAAGCGGATCATCCGCATTACTTAGCGCCCTAAAATCCCGTCCAAGTCCAGCAACACCAATAATATCAAGCGTAACCTTGTTAGCCCAATGATTAAGTTCCACAACTGATTGACCATCTGGTTCCACAGTTTCCTGCATCTCCTTAATAATCTGCTCCCGCATAGCAATTGACCGTGACCAAAAAACGGGAACAAGCTCTTTTATATGCCGGAAGCTGAATGCCGGTAGTAGATGTTTTCGTTGGAATTTATGTTCATCCCCTTCGGTCAATATCAACCCATCGCCCAGAATTTGTCGAAGAAAGTTACGAACTTCACCTGGTTTCTCGTAGTCGTAGCTTTTGCGGACTAAGACTTCGGCGAGGGCTTCGGAATTGGCTAGAAGGATAGCTTCGGAATTGAAGAATCCCGGTACGCGAATGATTCCCTCGTTGGGTATTCTTTCGATGAATTCCAGGAATCGTTGGCCGGCTGGTCTTTGGAATCCTGCACCACCAAATCTGATGATTGGCCATCCTCCCTAAGATCCGAATTAGGCCTCGTGGATTGTTCTGAATTTGGTTTTCAAACATACCTTTGGCTGAGGTAGGTGTCGCAGAGGACTAAAGAAATGAGGATAGATGAAGCCTGCCCAGAGGATCCATATTAGAAAGTTCAGGATAATCAATACGACTACGAATTTGGTAAACGATGCTCCCGAGGACAGTTGATGGAAGAGAAGCAAGTCTGCAGTACCCAGAATGACAGAAGCAACGGTAATCAACCGCAAAGAAGACGTTTTATTTCGCTGCAGGGACATTTGAGATGAAAACCACTTTCACTGTTTAATAGAACTGATGGCTTCCTCCTCTAAGGACAATACTTCGTACGACTTCATGCGCCATACACGCACATGACGTTTCGAAACATTGGATGGAAGCTCGTTTGGAAACCTATTTGGAACGTCCTCTCGAACTCGCAACTGGAACAAGCAGATAGAACTCGCAAGAATCCCCAACTAGAATACGCAAGTACTTGTACAAACACCCAATCGGAGAAATCAAAATACTTGATAGGCAAGGGCACGAGTATGGGTATTGATCGCTCTCAGCATGGCCCGATTTAAGAGGTGTTGCATGTGATGCGGGGTAGCACATGGTAGCATCTTGGTGCATATGGTAAAGCTACACGTCTTTCTGGTCAGTGATGCAAGGATCAATTGACTTTTAAAAGCTTACGGGCAATTACTGTGCCTTTGGAGACAGCCCTGGGCAGGAACCAATTGTTGATCCCCTAGTTTTCATCTCAATGCCGGATTGAAGTCGATAAAAGCCTTTCGTTGTAAACACGCGTCTAACATCAAAGCCCCTGCGGCTAGCTGATCAATGATCATCACCTCTCGACCCCTTTGAGGACCGAGAGCGAGGTCGCATGCCTCGCGTATCCAACTCTCCATCCCAACGAGAATTACACCACCAAGACATAGTACGTTTACCTGCCCAGATTCCAGAAGTCTTGTTGTTGCTGCCATTATCTTTTCCCTCGCCGTTCCCTCTGTGTCGTTGTCAAGATCTCCTTCCCCAATATGAGATGCCACAACTCCACCAAATTTCTGAAGGTGCTCAATGGTATATGCTGATGTGTTGGAAAATAACTGCTTGACCCCCTCAGCTAGGATCTCCTCGAATGGCATTCCAGTCGTGATAATGCCAAATTTTGAATCTGGAGGAATCATTTGCAAAGCAGCATGGATACTGGCATCAAAGATGCTGACCACAGGTTTGTCGCTGACATACGACTGAAATAAGCGAACGATAGGATGATCCGCATAGCATGCCCCTAAAAAGCCATGGAAATTGTGGGCGATATCGAAAAGTGAAGGTATGCAATGCGAGGCACTTTCGAACATGTCAGCCTGGTTCCGAATAAGCGAAGGGCCGGTGGATGCTGTCCAGTAGGTGAACACTGTATTTGGTAAGTTTAAGCTTGCGAGGATAGGAATGAAGGTCTCAGTGATGGCTTTGTTGGTGTTGGGATTGAAGACCAATACTCTCTTGATCATGGTCACAGCGAATCAAGATATGACCAAAGCAAATGACGTTCACAATGTCAAACTAAAGAAACTGATGGGTTTATGAAGACCCTATCCATTGTGTATGGTATCTCGCGCCAGAATGACACCAGAACGCGGGTCTCCCCCGTCACCAAGAAATTTAATGGTGCCCGGAGTGCCCGCGGGTCCTCCTTTGCCGTAATCTGCAGGGGTTATATACAGCATACTATTTGACAACCACATCCCCGACTTCGTTGAACTTTGCGCGATCGAGCCACTTCCTCTATCATAATGAACCAACTCTACCAGGGTAGCCAGATAAGGCCCTTTAGCTACGAACAACAGCAAGCTGAAGAGGGATATAAGGCTATTTTGATGCCACCTCATTGATATGTTTACGCCTATCAGGGTTATTGGTTGAATGAGCCGATCTCTCTGCTCTATGTCGAAACAGCGTGCAATGGACTCCACATCTGAAAAAGTCAAACCGAACATCAAGACCGACAGCGTGTCATCCGACCCAACGCAAGGAGCGATCTACATTGACGTCGAGGAGGAGAAGAAAGTTCTCCGAAAGTTCGACAAATATATCCTCCCACAGGCATTTGTTTTCATCTTGTTGAATTATCTCGGCCGTTCTAACCTTGGGATGCCCGTGTTTTTGGCTTCGAAAGAAGTCTTGGATTAGAAGGGAATCAGTTTGGCAACCTCGTTACCTTATTCTTCGTCCCATATATTGTCACTGAAGTGTTCTGGGTCAGCGCGGTCAAGCGCTTTGGGGCCAACTATATCATCACGATTGCTCTTACTGGCTGGTGTCTAGCAACCATTGGGACCGGATTTGTTCAGAACTATGGTCAGGCACTAGCTTGTCGTATGCTTCTCGGTCTTTTCGAAGCTGGTGTCGCGCCTTGCTTTGCCTTCATCTTCTCTACCATATACGCTCGCGAATCTCTAGCAAAACGAATTGCTCTAGTCAACCTCGCCAATGCCACTTCTGGGGCTTTCGGTGGATTATTAGCTTATGGCCTTCAATCGATGGGAACACGTCGAGGTCTCGAAGCCTGGCGATGGCTGTTCATCATTGAAGGCGCAGCTAGTCTTGCTATCTGCGGTGGCCTATTGTTGTCCTTTCCCAACACACCTGAGGCCGCCTGGTTCTTGAGCGTAGAAGAGAAAGAAATTATGGTACTTCGCAAAAAGCGCGACATCTTGTACAAATGGGATGATCAGTTTGAATGGAAATGGGTCAAGGAAGCATTGACCGACCCTTTTGTTTACATCGCTTCTCTGGCTTTTTTCACCAGCAGTGTCGCAATTTTTGGATTTGGAACTTTCCTTCCTACAATAATCAAAGGTTTTGGCTACAGCTCTTTGGAGGCCAACTACCTTACCATTCCAGTCTATGTCACCGGTGCTATTTCTCTAGTCGCACAGGCCTACTGGTCTGATCGCCTGCAAAAACGCGCTCTATTCCTGGTTGTGTCCGCCATTCCTGTCACCACGGCCTACATTATCTGTGTCGCTACACCTAACAAGGTCGCTGGTTTTGCCGCCATGTTCATCCTTGTTCTTGGGGTTTATTCTGTCTCTTGTCTAATGATTACATGGATGGCCACCAACCTGATCCCTGAGTACAAGCGCTCCGTCGGTCTTCCGATCTTCTGCAGTATCGGGAACTGCAGTGGCCTCGTGTCTGGCCAACTCTATCCTCCATCTCAAGGACCCAGATACATCATGGGCAACTCAATATCAGCTAGGTTAGAAGTTGTTTCTGTTGTGTTTGTTGGCCTGACATGGCTCCTTCTTCGACGCAGGAATGCGGAAAGGGAGAAGCTGATTGCACAAGGGACTACAACTAATGGCATGGTAGGGGATAAAGCGCTTGATTTTGAGTATTGCCTTTAGAGATTGTGGATTAGTATGATTATTTTTGAACCAGCACGGGCTTCTATTCCGTAGTTTACTGCGACATGAATTTTAGAATTCGATGAGCTAGCAAAAAATCTCCGAAGTATATGACCCATGAATAATATTATACGAAGTTACGGTCGGATACTTATCGTCAACCCTAGCAGAATCTTCAAGGTCAAGCGTTGCAATGAAAGGAAGTTTTCGGCGGGGTAAACCTTATAATCGGGGTAATAGTCGGTCCCCTATCAATTCTGCCCAACATAAGATGTCTGGAGGAACATCCACGTGCTCATTCATGTCGACACCACAATGAACGTCGTCAGGAATAAAGATCAGCGCCCGTGTGATAACTGTCGAAGGCGAAAAATACGCTGCTTGTACGCATCAGAAGACGCTACGAATTGTGTTTTGTGTCTGTCCCGCTCTACCATATGTACCTTTCTGCAGGATGCGCCCCGGAAAAAGAGACCTCATACGTCAAGCAACACGAATCAGGATGAAGGTACGGTAAACCAGGGGTATTCGCTCCACTATTCCTCCTATTCGCCAAATCCGTGAGCTAACAAGCTAAAGGCGTAAGACTTCATCAACTGGTATGCGAGTGAACATAGTAAACACTGGCATAAAAGCTGAAAAGATAGGACAAGATAGTAGGCCTGTTCTACGGGATTATTCTGACCTCAAAGGGAAATCACTACTGAAAGAAACTCTCGGGCATCAAAATCGTCAATCTACATCAGCTTTAGGAGGCACGTCAGACTTTGATCCTGCCATCATACGCAACTTGTCTTTTAACCCTCAAGGGAAATGTCTCGACAACATGCAGGATGATATGGTACTCCGGCGACCAAGTGTAGATGTCCATTTCTTGATGCGCCCAGACAACCAGGAGGAAATGGATCAAGAACTGGAAAATCTAGATATTATCGAAAGGCTCGTTGCTCCACACGGACAGGAACTGGTCAATCTCTATTTCCGGATTGTTCATCCTACCTTTCCAATCCTCATAAGAAAGTCTTGCTTGAAAATATTGGTCGGTTTTACCGCGAATCTACTCCTTCTGGACTTGGGGCAGTCTATGTTATGGCATTGGATTGGTGGTCATATAGTCCATATCTCTCCACCAAGCCCAAACCAGATGCCAAAGAGTTGGAAAGAGTAGTTACTAGAATGTTGTTTGAAGTACAACAACGACCGAAGATATCTGACCTACAAGGTGGTTTGGTGTTGCTACAAAAATCAGATGTGAATTCTTGGGCAATGACAGGTCACTTACTGGCTATGGCCCAGAGTCTAGGAATACACCTTGATTGTACTGATTGGCAAGTTCCTGACTGGGAGAGGGGCATTCGGAAACGTGTTGCGTGGGCTTTATTTTTGCAAGATAAGGTGTTACTTTCTTGCTATATTATTTTGAGACAACCTGATCTAACCAGTATCTTTTTTAGTGGGGTGCGTTGGTGTACGGACGACCATCCAATATAAGAATGGACAGTTGGGATGTCAGACCACTAGAGGTCTCAGATTTTCCAGAGACATCCAAGGACAATGATGACGAAGAAGGAAGTGCTGAAATCGGAAAAGGAAGACAAACCTTCGTTTACATGGTCTCGCTCACCATGATCGTCTCTGAGATCTTAGATCAATTCTTCACGTTGGCAGCGATTAGGCGCAGGGAAAACTTGCCAGCTATGCTCGACCGTGCCAGGCCGCTTCAAATGCGTCACAAGGAATGGTTCTCTTCTCTCCCGCAGATGTTATCGGTTGATGATATAAAGCCTCGAAAATTATCCTCAGTTGGATACCTCCACCTAGCATACTACACAGCAGAAATTACGCTTCATCGCGCTATTCTTCGTTCTCATTCCTTTCCCCAGTCCAGACTCAGATTTAATTCTCATGACTCGTCGCACGGCAGGCACACGATTCTCATCAGCGCTCGATTTTGTCCAACGACTACGCCAAGAACATCTCCAAAGTTTCTGGCACTTCTCATCGAGTTGTAGCCTCGCAATTATCGGGATTTTTGCAGGCATACTCGCCATCACCAGTACAGATCCGCAGGAACGTGACTCATATATCTCGCGACTGGCAGAGTATCGATGGATTCTTCGAGTCAGCAATACCGGTTCTTCGGTTATGAAATATGCTGTTGGGGTGCTGGACAAGACCAGTCAGTTGCTGGAACAACAGATCAAACAAGAGGGCTCGAGAAGAGAGTCAGAGATTCAGGAAATTCCGGCGTTAGAGGTGTCGCCAACATATAGTGGCTCGGTTTCAGTGGGCGTGGAGGATCGTGGATGGAGTGAATCAAGCGTGATTGATCCGCAGCACATGGGGTATAGTCATGATTTGAAGAATTTTCCCATGTATGACATGGCTAGTATGGCTAACACTGACTTCTTCACGTTCGACAATAGTGCGGGGCGCTGATTTACATAGCTAATAAAAGAAGATTGCTTGGAAATTGTTGTTCGATAGAAAGGGGAGAACTGTTCAATTTGTAAAAGTAAGGTACAGGTGGGCATTAAATACCCTGGCATGACGCTAGTGCATGTAGTGAGTGAATATCAAATATGTCCAACAAAAATCCGTGGGCAAAGTGTTGGCAGGCTTCCACTTGGTTCCTGCCAGTGTAATTGCTCGTAATTCTCTAGCGAATCTGGATTTTGTACTGCTCAAAGGACTGGTACGAGGAGAGAATAGGGCGTAAATAACCACCCAGTATTGTCTTGCTATTGCATGTGATTGTTTTCCTAAAGTAGTATCAGATGAATAGTTACTGGCGGATTCCCTCGCAATTCCATAATATGATTGTACTTGCCTTGCCGGTTAACACATACGGTTATGTTGGAACAACGTTTGGCACTTGGAATACGATTCCAAGGATTCCAAGATTCCATTCCAAGGTGGAATATCTCAAAGGCTCTTTAATTTAGAAAGGAATATTCTAAAGGATACAATAAGGCTCCGGAATTTGTAATTCTAAAAGAAATATATATATATAGCTTTTTAACTAACAGGTACGCTTGTTTTAAGGTAAATGAACGTAGTAACTACTCAAATAGCGAATATACTATACTACTCATTCACTATACTGATTAGTTATATACTACTAGCCGAGGATCTATAAATACGTGCTAGCCTAATACTCACGTGGTACTGTCGATTTGGTAGAGAAGGGACGTACTAAGCCCCGAATATTGTACCTAAGCCTCCCATTACTAGAACAACTACAGTATTTTATAGATATATGCTATTATAACCCTCGAATTAACTAATTGATCAATAGGACCAGCGATTCGTCACTTAGTACGCATAGTGGATTAGACGGTATTATTTGATCACTTCTAGGATGCGAATTATTCGTCACTTTTATTAATAAATAAAGTTGGTTTTAATTAAAGTATACCCCTCGCCTAAGAAAGTAAATTAAGCACTCTAAAAGAAGACGTAATTAAAGTATAAACTCTACGACCTAAATAAGTAAAAAGTAAAGCTATTCCTAGATACGATTATTTCGTCTTTAGTTCGCGTCCGGCACTAACTCTCGCTCTACCCCGTCCCTTTTTTAGGGGGGCTATTACCTATCTTTTTAGCTGTTTTTATCGTTTTTGCTATAGTAGTACTCTTATATCTCTAGCTATTTATACCTTATTATCGGTTATATAAAGGCTCTTCCTCCACCCCTCCCCAAGCCTCTATACCCCCCTTGTCTATACCCGCTACTTCACCTATCCTTCTCCTACGCTTACGTCCTTTTCTCTATATAGCGGCAATAGAGGCTCTATTATTTTCGAGTTATACGTTTCCCCTCCTTAGACGCTAGATGGCGATATAGCCGGGTTAGCAGCGTCTATAGTAAAGTAATAGTAAGGACAATAGTAATAGGGAAGAAATAAGGGGAAGGGAATACAGACCCTTAAACAAATTTGTATAATGTTATAGTATTTACTTACTATATTCCATTCCTTATTCTACACCTACCACCTTACTCGGTCTACACTATAACAAGCTACAACAAAAGCTTATTATAGAATAGATTATTATCTTTGCGACGTCTATGATAGTATCCCTTGAATCTATGGTGCGGCGGTTGCAATAGTCTAATTAGTTAAACCAGGAAATCCAGGGTTACTATAGCACAGATAAAATAACGAGTTCCAAGATGGAATTCCAAATTCCATCGTCTGGAATTGGAATATTCCAAGGGACCTTTATTTTAGAACGGAGTATTCCATAGAGGGGGTCTGGAATGGAAAGGAATTCCAAATGCCGAACGTTGTGTTGGAAGGCGTGTCCAGTTAGTTTCTAGCCATTATAGTAATCGCAGCAGTACTGATCTGCCATAATACCATCTGATAAAGGCATCATGGCCTTACAAGTATGATGACATTTGGGCAAGAACAAACTCGGCCACAATTCCAAGTTTAGGAAAAGCTCACCGGTCTCTCTAACTCGCGCTCAGAGTAGAAAATCGCTGGAGAATATCAGCTTGTAGGCAATTTTCTTAATCATCATTAGCCAATTGAGTGAGGCAAAGTGCTTTTCAAAAGTCCCGTGACTCCCGTCAAAGGGCTGGGAATTTGGAGTATACCACACCGCAATGAAAATCTCAGAGAACTCAGGCCACAAATTTGCATGCGTACAGGAATAATTAGACCACATAGTTCTTTCGTGGCTACGTATGTCCAAGGATTTATGCTTGGAAAGTTCAACATTATTGATTGCACTTGTATTAGCCAACGGCGAAGCACTCGAACCTAAGCGACGTGAAGATCACGTTTCTAGAAGGAAAAACCACTACCCATTGTTTCCAACTCTGGGATATTCTAGGACCTTAGCTTTGTGGTAACCTATTGGTCCCCAAAGTGGAATGACATTAGATAGGTGTTCTCTAGCTCAGCAGACTGATAATAACAATCCTATCTCTAGACGAGTATTTTGGACATACTGTACTGTTGATTTTATCTCTTCACACGAACGGATCCAATGTAAAAATCTTGAACCCATCGCATTACAATACCACGCCTGAGTTTAGAGTCGTCATACTCAAAAGAGATCCAAGCCTCCACATCAATGTCTCAAAACGCAGCCTACCACCGTCATGGAACAGCCAAACCAAGATACCTATGACCCAAACACCCTTAAAATCCTTCCCACCACCACGGTCATCAGTCCCAAAGTAAACACCACACACCCCAGACACAGCCACGATTCCATCTAACACGAGCAAAGATACCATCCATTCCATCCACCACCTCGGACGCCCCTCTTACCCCTCATTTTCCCCACACCAAAAGGGATCAACGGGACATGACCCTGCACCCGTACGAGTAGAACACGGAGTGCACATACCAAGCCGCGATTTTCCCAATTGACCACCAGCATGCCACCACCCTAACGGATTCAGTACGGTAAGAGCTTATTTGTGCTTATGTGTAACATCTCACGACCTTGGAATTACCGCACGGAGATCAGAAATCATGCATGGGGGCATGCACAAGCACAAACACCGACGATAATTTTGCACATGTAAAGACGATCAGCGAGCCAAGGAGGGAAACCGAGGTTGGAAACTGTTGTGGTATAGTTGTACGTAGGAGAGGGAGTATACCCCTCATAAGATTGAGGATCAGATGACACTTTTCCCCCTAATGATGATGAGGGACTTCACTTGGGAATACATGTAGTGAAGTGCTTTAAATTGTTTTTTTCTTCTTGAGTTAGATTAAGTATGAATCTTAAGAAAGGATATATGTCCCATAAACCGGGGTGCCGTTCAAAGTAGATACAATCGAAGTCCCCCTCCATAACCTGCCCGCTTAACTATGAATGCTGAGTCCCCATTGAAATGCCAAACCATCCCCAAAACCAAAAATACTTCGCCGATTTTCATGAAGAGAGTTCTTATATAAAGATAACCCACAACACGTCTTGAATCTCGTTTCATTAAATCCAATGAATTATATCATCACCCCATCGCTTCCCAGAAAGCACTTTCCGAGAAACTCGTGTCTAGTGAGAACTATCCGCAATAACCTGCAGAACGTTCATCCGCAATGGCAAAACATTATCACTGAGTGCCTTCTCGTAATATGGTATATGCTCGCCATTGAAGATGACCGACGATCCTCTAATTTTCAAATCCAGGAATCCGTTATCCAAAGCAGAGACGACTTTCATCTGATCCATCGTTCCGCTCATTGGAAGTGAGTTATCTCCAGGCCTGATGGTGAAGTTCTCAATAGTGGTGTTTCCTACAATACCCGCCTTGTCGGTCGAGAGGGAGAGAGTGACATTTCCCATTTCGATCGTCATGTTGGAAGGATTGGGGATAAATGCGAAACCGGAAAGGTTAGGACCGTCGGTTTTGGTCGCGTTGATTCGGACGTTGGTTACGTTGAAGCCTTTGAGGCCATTGAGACCTTGAAACTTTTGTCAGTATTGAGATTTCGGAGTAAACAGTATTATGTAAATCCACCTTTATAACTTGGGGTATCCTGAAAGTTAACCTGAACGGTAGGTAAAGCTCCCAAGTGCAGGGAGGTTCTTCCGATCAATCTGGAGTGAACATTTTCATTGGCGAGGATTGAGCTCGCGTAGGCAGCAAGTTGTTCCTGATTCACGATGTCGACCTTTTGGTTTTCAACACTGTGAGTGGAGGTTGGTTTTCTTGCGTGGATTTCTGGGAATTGAATGTAAACCATTGGCTCTGGACCCTGGACTCCATCGGTGACGAGATAATTCGCGGCTGGGAAACCATCAAGTGTTGGTGTAAATTTGCTTGGGTTGTGGAGAATGACTCTTTGTGTCAAAACAACAGAATTGGGCGTTGGATCGAGAAATTGTAATTCCGTAACTTCAAGCCATGATGCATCCACATCGTGCTGTGCAATTCTGGGCATGCCAACGTAAACCCTGTTACAAACTGTTAGCAGTCGGTTTCACGAGAAGGTCGTGTGATCTGGAAGATACTTACAAGCAAAGCGCAATAATTAAAAAGATAATACAGAAGGCGATTACATGAACCCACCAAAACCGAGCACAATGTCTCTTGACTTTGTATAAAGCTCCAGTCTGCGCCGGCGCGACGGCTCTGCTCTCAAGGCGGTCCTCATCGCCCTCAAACTTGGATCCATCCGAGCCGTTGTCATTCATATTTTTGTTTGTAGACATTTTGCCGGCGTCTAGAACCTCGGAGCTTTCCAGGGTTTGGCGTCGAAGAAGTTCCGAAAATCCTTCAAAAGAAAGATTCCACGGAGAACGATATTATGGCTACCTAAAAGTATGGGGAGGGCGAGTAAATATCAACTTTTTTGAAAACGGATATCACAAAATGAGGCAAACCGCCTGAGGTAATAGCTCCGAGGTACATGTGATCCACCAGATTGTGAATGACGAGGGGCAAGGTAACCCATTCCTAGTAGCAGTTTTAGTGAATCACCTTTTTTTGGAAGAAAAAGCCGCCCAACATGGTTACGCGAACGCTGTACGGAGTATCATCCATTTCACACATTCAGCCTCTTGCCAATCACAGAGAGGAACTGCTGAAACCTTAAAACTCGAGCCCCATTCACGAGTGTACGGCTCTTCAGGGTCCAAAGTTAGGCTTTTTGCTTGACTTCAGGTGTAGTGATCGAAACGGTCACTTGACACTCTGATTGGTTGAACCACGGATTTGCCGGCTCGGGCGCATTAAAATGTAACCATTCCAATTCAGGTCTTCTCCGTCCTTCTGTACAATTGTGGAAGGGGTGCGGACAAGCTCTTGAGCCCTGGCAATACCCCGCATAATGAAATTTACAACAAGGTTATTGCATGGGAAAGGAGGATGTGTGGATGACGGAAAGAAAGGTGCAGCAAAACGATACGAATGGAGAAGACCAAATTTCGAGCATGACCAATGAACAAGTCTTGATTGATTGAATCTGGTTGGATCTGCGCATCGATTTTGATAGTCCTGCAGTGCAAACTCCGTGCTTACGCAGGGAATTGTACGGTGTCTCTATTTGGGAAGGTGTTTTCAACTTTTGCAACCCGTGGATTATAAGAACAACGACAGCGGCGGGAAAAGGAATAAGAAATTTGGTGGACGACAAAGCCAAGTTTGGAAAATTGCTGGAGGGTGGAAAATTAGGTTCATCTTGTACGGCCAGTCTACCAGCTAACTGGGAAATAGATTTGAAGAATAAGCTTATGTACGGTCCGGCACGGAGTACGGCAAGCAAGAAGCCTGCTGAAGCAGCGACCAATCCGATGTGGAATCGAGGAGGGAAATTGTGATCCATCTCGTTTGCCCTTCGTACACTACTCCGTACTTTGTACTTCAACTGGACTTGATGACAGTGTAATGTCGAGGTGTGCTGAGTTGCTGAGTTGGGTTGTCAGCTCTTCCAACGCACCACAAGTGTATCCTTGAGAGTTCTAGAAGGCCGTGCGAAGTGGCAAACGCCGTCTGTCGGACAGTGGTGACAGGTGTCGAGAGATGCCACCGAATAACATCGCGAGGCAGGATGGTATGCATGGTAAAACTGCTGTGGGTATCTTAGCCGCCGGTTCTCTGCAAATAAGAAAGCTGGTGACGTGCAGATGGTCGATATTAATTGGTGTTGGTGTTGTAAAATAGTTTGGTACGGTAGAGAAATGCGACGTTACATTTCCAGCTTCGGTAAATCCCGCTACTACTGTAAGTTAACTTAACTTAACTTAACTTACTACGCATAATAACGTCATCATTCAATTTTTGGACTATGTTATCAATTGCCGTAAGGACTCCTGCATTAACCGCCGGTATAGGTTCACACATAGTTAGGAGCTGATTTGGAATGTTCGGTTTATCATGAATTGAAGAATGAATAAAAGAAAATGGAATACGGGAACGTCAAATATGATAAGCGCTCGGGTGACTTAAGCATACGGACCCAATTGGCTATCCCATTTCATTCCATTCCATTTGTTTTCATGCAGCCAACTTTATGCGCCACATGCATCTTGACCCAAACACCGCAGCCAATCCCCATTGATTTCCTTACAGTCTTCCCGTTTGGTTGCCTTCGCTGCGCCTTCATTCAGCTTTGGGTAGGAGTATATTCAGTCTCTTCGAGACTGTCTCTAATTTCTTTTCCAAATTTACTGCTAGTGCTCTGATCATTGGTCCTGGCAATGCCATTACTTCATAATCGGCGATTGGTGTCGGGACAGAAAACTGTGGATAGAATATTTTGATAGTGCTTGCTTGCAACGTATCATGGTGACTGGAAGGTCGCACGATTTCTGGGTCTACACTGGTGAAGAATTGATAAGATGGAAGACCATTAGAGAAGGAAGTATGTTGAGACTATTTCCCAATTGTCAACAACGCTAACCCCCAGATAGCAGGCGAACTAGCCCCGCATTAGCCATATGACCCGACACTACGTAACTTCCTTTTTTTTATTGTGCGGGTTCCAAGAGTTTAACTGAATGCGACTTTGTCTAAAGCTTTTCTCAGATTATATACTGTTATTTTCATTCATCTACCAAAGCGATACAGAGCCATTGGGTCTTGATTTCCATGCCCCACTGGAAGGAAACAGGAGCGACATAAGTAGATATTATGCATATGTCGGCAACGCTCTACTGTCATATCATAAAACGTCCTTTCTCCAACCTTAAATATCACCCGTTCCTTGTTGTTGCCTGGACTTTGATTCAATATTCGGACAAACTTCTTTTGAAACATTGTAGTTAGAGGTTTAGCACATAAATACGTAATAGTCCGTAACTCGGGAAGTGTCCTAGCCATTCGACTAACTTTACATGCGCTTTCGGGTTTTTGTATACCGCAAGGCATCGTAATCGGGTAGTCAGGTGACGTTGGAAAATAAAACGCCAGATGTTGTAAGCGAGTGAAGGCAGGAAAGGGGAATTCCGTCCGCGGTGAGAAATATCCAAGGCAGGGGAATAGTGACGGCGGAATTAAGAGAGTGTCGTTAGCGAAATCGAAGTAACCAGCAAAGTATCCCCCATGATCTAGTTGTGTATAATTTTCCAACCCAATTTGTCGAGATTCTTGACAGATATGGAGAACTATAGGTGTTTTCCTTCGAGAAACTGTAATTTTGGGAATACGAGAGCGGTCATTCCTTCCGTATTTACACCGGAATTGAATTCGCGAGTATTGGCCCTCTTCATAGTGACGAATTGGAGGATCTTTGACAACTAACTCAGCTGTAGAAGGATCGCTTATAAGACCCCAGATTTTCCATCGAATTTCTAGTGGTAGGGATGAGAATGGCATGATTCTATATGTTTAGCTATAAAAGAAGGGTTGGAACAATGGCTATAAAGGTAGAAAGGGGTCCTGAAACCTGCCATGGTGGGTTCGGCACACACCCACGGCAGAAAACCGCCAGGCCTAGTTCCAGGTACAATTAGAATAACACTACAAAAATTGACGTCCTTTAAACGCAGCAACACAAGAAATAATGAAAAATCGCTTGAATTGTACCACTTGAGGCAAGAACAGAATTAGATGGAAATAAACAAAGAGGAAGTGAAAAGAAAAAGCTACGCTATGTATAGAGATTATATTTAGCATGTTTTGAAAATTACTACTTCAATTCTGTAACATAACATCCTCCTTAATCGTTCCCACAATTCTATCAAGCGCTAAACCACCCCCAAGAAGTTCAGATTTTGAACAGACCTTTATTAATGGCACATCCTTCTGAGTAGAAAATAGTTCCTCGATCTCCCTCCAAGTAACCGGTGTAGATGTGACGACGATTAATACCCGAGGAGCTAGATATAACATTATCCTCTGGGCGGTCCATTTATCTACATGGTGCCGCTCTACAGCAAGAATCATATGTCTAGTCGTGGGATGCAGACTATCGGTATAGATGCCAAGAAAGGTGTTTTTTAATTCGTGTTCAATGTATATAATATCGCACCTCGGATTAAAGATTATAGAATCCGGAAGCTTAAATGGTGTGAGAGCTCCCGACGTCATGCTAATCTTAGAAAGGGGACCAATCGTCTCTCGTGACATTCTGCAGGTATTTCGAAGAGTGGCCAGAAGGGTTGAATGTTTGTAAAATTCATTGTAACACTGCGTATGTGCACACGTCTGAGAATGGATTGTACAAGGGCGTGTCTTTCCTTTCGTAGGTGCCGGCAAACCCGGAAGACAAAAAGCGCAGTCCTTACCAACGTCGAACCGGAGGTTGGAGAGCTTGTAACAGCGCGCCGGTGCTTCTTTTTGAATATATTTGACAGTCATATAATCATCCGAGATGTCGACAGCTTCCCGTTTTCGAAGTAGAGTTTCTAATGAGTGCTTGGTCCGTTTGTAAGTTATATTGTACACTCGAAGTTGAGTTGCCGCCTCATGCCAGATCTTAAGTTGGAGCTCGGGAGGTAGTTGAATGAAGCGAGGAAAAGAATACATAATTCTTTTTCGAAAAGCTGCGGCATACACAAGAGGGGGATTTTGCGTCTAAGGTTTGAGGGGAAAAGTGTAGTAGCGAGAGCAGAATTGGTATGAAGGTGTCGGCGCCACGCCTATTTCAGGGCTCCCACACCTGAAAGCCGCCTGCCGCCAGCGTGCCCTCCCCTAGAGGCTACAGCCTGTTTCAGGGCTCCCGCACCTGGAATCCGCCTAGCGCCAGCGTAACCCTCCTAGCAGCTACAGCTTTACATGCCTGAAAGCCGACATATATAGGGCATCACGCCTGAAAGCTGGCGAGGGGCCCCTGTCGAAAAAGCTGAGTCATGCCGAACTGAGGCTCATGTAGGCAGGGCTCCAAGAGAATTGGGCATCCCGTCCGCTCTGCCATACACAAGCCTCTGATCGGCAGATTAGTAGTTGGGTGGGTGACCACCAGCGAATACCTGCTGTTGTATGTTTTCTCTACTTACTCTTTTTTTTCCTACTAGCTTTTTGCAGGGTGGGTTTTGTGGGGTTGCCAAGGGTGGAGCACTGGTTATTGGTGATTGGATGGGAGCGTTCTTGAAAGGTACGAGTACCATGGGATGGGAAGGGGAGGAATTGCAGTTTGTGTTTTTGGTTTTTGGGTTGGGTGATTGTTGGGGGGGTTTGAAGGAGGAGTGGCGAGAGGGGGAAATGGTGGGAAAGGTGGTGGGGTCATGTGACTGGGACCGTCTTGCAAATGAATATATTCAATGCCACTAAACACTTCCATATACATGGCAAGAGGGATACGTATCCAAGTAAAGAGCTTTGTCGTTTTATTATCTGATGCAAGTCTTCCTGCGAACAACCATGGACAATATGGACAAGTTCTCAGATCACGATATTTCTTAAAACATTTACAAAAAACAGATATCTCCAATATATACACAAAACATAACCTCAAGCCATCAGCACCTCACCCAAGTTCACACCCCCACTCACCCCGTAGAATTCGAAGGCACCATCGGCACCAAAACAAAACTCAGAAACGCCCTCGCAGGCACACTCCCACTCACGGTCCCATCACTCGCCACACTCAAAGAACTCGCTTTAAAATCATTACTCGAATCCGTCAAATAACTCGTCGCATTCCCCGTCGAAAACCCCGTAACACCCACCGTCAAACTCGCCGCACTCCCCCCCGTATTCAGCATATTAACAGCCACACTCCCATCCCGATTCCGAAAAGCCGTCGTGCGAAAACTGCCACCCGTCGTCCCAACCCTCACAGCACCCGGTCTCACAGTCCGACTATACTGCGCCAGCGCCCATAAGCGCTTCGAGACCTGATAGTCGTTCCCAGAAACCTGGACCAGCTTCTCATTCGTATTCCCCCCCTGCGTCCCAATCCAATAAATATACGCCGAAACATTCGCGTTCACAATAGCATTATAATACGTCTGCGCCCAGGTCATGCCCTCACCACTTCCACCATTCGCGTACCACGCGGTCGTCCAGCCGCCGTTCAGGTCCGAGTACTCGGTTTGCCAGCTGCGCTTGGTGGAGGAGAGGGAGCTGGAGGCGCGTGAGGTGTACTCGTGCGCGGAGGCGACACCGAGGTATTGCTCGCCGCCGGCGGAACGGATGCCGGAGAGGATGCTGTTGGCCTGGCTCCAGCCGGTGGATTCGCAGCAGACGATTTGGACGTTGGACATGTTTGCGTATTCTAGGGAGGGACGGAGGACTTTCATGAAGGAGGCGGCTTGGGCGCCGTTGGAGAGCATGGAGGCGTAGCTTGCGCTTTGGGGGATGTTAGATATATTGGGACTCTTGTTTATTATGTGTAGTATGATGAGGAAAGACGTACGTGAAATCTGGCTCGTTCAAGAATCCTAGTAGGAGGTTAGTTAGGGATGTTGAAGGAGGAGGAGAGACTTACCTAAGTGAGTGATGGGAACGCCAGCATCGATGTAATACTTGATATACTGAATCAAATAATTCGCATACGCTTGTTTCCCTGGGCAAGAATATCATCGTCAGTTTTCACTTCCAAGAATAGCCGAGTCAAGCGAAGCCTCTGTGATTGAAACTTTCTCCGCCTAGGACGCAAAGCATAAAAAAGCGAAGCCAAGCGAAGCGAAACCACACCCACTCCGACCGAGACCGCGGCCCCAACGAGCGAAGCGAATGCAAAAAGGGGGATCGGCACCCCCCTGCTCCCCTTAAAAAAGAACAAAACAAAACAAAACAAATAAACCCACACTCATCCCTCAAAGTCCCTCCATTAGCATCATTCCCATTACTCTTCATAAACCCCGGCGCACTCCAGGCATTCGCATAGAACGTCCTCACTCCATACTCCACCGCCTTCTTGCTCACAAAGAACTGTCCGCTATCCTTCCCATCCCACACATAACTCGGGGTCCCCTGCGCACTTGTCGGTCCCTTGGGTAAAATCGTGTTCATGTGGTCACTGCTTGAATCCGGGGAGCTTCCTAACCCATTACGCAGGATGGAGAAACCGGCGCCGGTTGAGGTGGAGAAGAGGAGGTCGAGGAGGGCTTTTTGTTTGGGTTCGGGCATGTTGACGATGAGGTTTGCGCGTTGGAAGGCTTCGGAGATGCCGAAGCCTGGGTGGGTGTTGGTTAGGTGTGGGGGGAGAGGGAGTGAGGGGGATGGAAAGGGCAAAGAAGGAGACGACGAAAGCTGGGAGAGCGAGGTGGAGTGCGGAAGATAGTAGGAAAGGTAGTAGGGGACAAACCATCCATAGTTTGGTAAGTCTTCGAGAGATCAACAGTGATCTTCGTCGCAGCCTGTCGAGTCGAAATCCTCGGGTGTGCAGCAACCAGCAGAGGCAAAGAAGCCACAAGGAATCTAGTTGAGAAATACATCGTAGCAATTGCCTTTGTGGCACAAATCTAAACCAACGATAAAATCTTTTCCTATCCAAATTCAAGAAAATAGAAAGGGGGAAGAACAAGGAAGTAAGAAGGGGGGGAAGCGATCTGATATACACAAGCCCCCCTTCCCCTCCACCACCCAACACGCGGTAAAATCCAACAAGTCCTCGTTAATACGAAAAGATCTATCTGGAGAGACATCTTAACCGTCTTGGGTTCCTTCTCATATGGTAAGAAGTATCCATTTTTATTTAGAACGGCACTGAGTAGTAATTGCCATTCACCCCCGTGGGGTTGCCAAGTGCGCGTGGAGTGTCTTACCCCAGATCTCCGCGCCGCGCCAAGATCTGGGGAAATGGGGTTGAGTTGACTGGAAGCGGAATTCTTGACAAGGCAACAGTATGGAGGTAATAAGGCAGAATTTGGAAACGTGGGGTACATACATGTAGGAAGGGACGAAGAATTGGGGATCGGAAAATCTCCATAGCAGGTACGCAAATGCACTTGTTACGAGGCAAGAAGAAAACACATACCAACAAATCCCATCCAAAACTCCAAGTCTCTCAGCAACAGCAAAACAGAAGAAGAAAAGCACAACTGACAACCAGACCCTAGACAAGAAAGGGCCGTACACGCAAGAAAGCCATCAAGCCATCCCATCACGGATCAGTGGAACGAACATCAGAATATCATGATGTGGGGATTTCAATTGACCCCTGGATGAATAGGGAATAGGAAAACCATTTATCCATGTTGGTCCATTGAGTATCTGCCTGGTACTTACCTATTGAACAACCGGGAGCGGATAAACTTCTTAGGGAATGACCCCACATCGTATGATATTTGATGTATGTTGTTGGAAGGCTTGTTAAAAGACGTGGGGAATACCTATACTCATGAATAGGACAAGTAAAGCCTTGGCCTTCTGTACGACGTCAACTTGTATGCGGTTGGAAGCACGAGGAATGTGCGACTTGCTTACTTGAACGATACCCAGGCTCAAACCCCGTGCATGCAAATCATTTATTCATCCATACCTCCCTCCCCTTTAGTCTACCTACGATCAATACTCGCTCCCACCGGTTGGTCCAACACCGAAACATCTACAACAACCAGGGTATCAATAAAAGCATAGAACCGCCCCAAGGAAAGGAACTAATCAATGTCCATATGATCACTTCCCCCCCTCACCACCACCTCATTGACCTCCTCTAAAGAAACCTCATTAGGCGTCCAATCCATACCCCCTNCAAGGAAAGGAACTAATCAATGTCCATATGATCACTTCCCCCCCTCACCACCACCTCATTGACCTCCTCTAAAGAAACCTCATTAGGCGTCCAATCCATACCCCCTACGTCCCTCTCCCCTACCCCCCTCAACACATTTTCCAACCTTACCTTCCTCTCCTCATCCCCCACCCCTCTAATCGTATCTCTATCCCACTCGCAAATCCCCTCCACCAAGTCCACAAACTTCCCCCTCCTCCCCTCATCGCCCAGGATACCCATCAATTCCCCCGCCTGCGCAGCCATGCGCCTCAACTCCCCATTATCACACAGATGGCGATGCACAGCTTTATTCCGTATCCGCACCGCGTTTGCTAGTGCCTTTTCGAGCGTGGTATGTGAGAGCGGGTGGAGAGCGCGAGCAGGGGCGTGGTGGTAGAGGAGTTTGCGCCATTCGGAAAGCTCTACTGCCTCCGAGCAGGCGAGGTTGTGGGTTTGGAGGACCTCGAGAGTCCAGCGGGTTGCGAAGGCATAGCAGCCTTCTTCGAGGAGGCGTTGGGTCATGGTTAGGATGTAGTGCTGGACTTCGTAGGGGAGTCCGAGGTCGGGGTTGGCTGGAGGGGCATAATCGTGGCTTGTGGTTTGTAAAGGGGAGGGGAGCTGGGTTGTCTGGAAGATGTTAGTACTTAGATATACAAGGAATAGTGTATAGTGGTTTCTTGAAAAACGTACCTTCGTCCAAACCTGTCCTCCATTCTGTCCCCTAAACTTGTGATTCCGCGGTGCCCACCGACTCGTAGATAGTCCACTATACATATGTATCTCCTCACCCAGCTCATCTCCCACATAGCTCGTCATTCCCACCTCATCCGCAGATTCTGGGGGCGTCGCGCATTGTACAGGTTCCGTCCGGGTAGGATATGAGACAGTATGTGCTCTTTGATACCGCGCAGCTTCAGCCTCCGCACCATTTCCGTTTCCCGCCCACGGATACCGGTTCTCTTGTCCTATGGTGGGGAGATTGCCCTTTTGACTTGGGAGAGGAGGAGGGTTTCCGGCGCAGCATCGCAAACAAGATGTTCGACTGGCAAAGTTGGAGAATTTGCAGGATGGACAATTCCAATCGCCCGGTCGGGGTGTGTACTCGAAGCCCGATGCATTTGCGTATCTGCTCGACTCGAGGCCGGGCATTGTATCGTCTCTGGGGGGTGTTGAAGATGTTAATGTCCAAACAGATTTTGTACAAGTACAGGGTGGTGGGTTGGGGTTTGGGGCTGTGTCGAGGAGTTTGTTGGATTGTTGTTCATAAAGGTAATTGTAATTCCCCGCGGATGCTTTGAAAGGAATGATCATGACTGAATGTGAATGTGAGTGCGCATAGAGAATTGGCGGATGATATTGGTAACAAATGTCCAGGGTGAATAGTATGTGGCAGAAAGAGAATCTACTTGAGTGATCCTTCGTCATGAGAACCCCCGAGGCCGGCGCGTGGAGAGGCGAGGGAGACGCGATCGCTCAGGTTGGAAAACAGCCACATTTGCTTACACAGCCACTTATTTTGCAATTACCACTTTTAGATAATACTAAACAGAGGTATATCATTAATTATTATTTAAGTAAAAAAAGCTAGCAAGATTACTAATAATATTCTAGTTATAGGTAATTGCTGGGTTATTTGAAGATTTCTCTATAGGGATATTAGGCTAAGTATATATGTACCATTGTCGCTACTATTTAATTTGGTATAATAGACTTTAGGTAACCAGTAGTTCTATTCTTCCTAGGTAGGTAATCTTTCATCTCCTAAATATTACCTTTTGTATGAAACAAAATTAGATTTATCACTGGATAGAAATTTCCAATAATTGATTATTATATACTAGTTCATAAGTTAAAGCAAGCAAGAACTACACAAATTATTTTGCTTTGTATGTATTTTTCCTGACCAACTTCCTTCCCTAACTTGTTAAGAAATATTTACAACTCTAACCCTGAATCAACGCCGAACCTTCTAATTTCCAAATTCCAATATCCTATTTCCAAACCAAACTTTTCCTTTCTCCCGCGTACCTAGAAAGCTTTCGATCCAATCTCGTACCCCCTCTTCCATCTCATCCCTTCTCTATATCCCATCCACACCCCTTCCCCCCTCACCTTTCAATCAAACTGCTTAAACCTCCCACAAGGTCCGTTGAAAGCCAAAACCCCACTGGGATCATGCGGTCTCTGTATTCTCATACCAAAAGCTATGTGGGCACTCGGATATGCCGGCTGATCCGATGGACACGTTGCATCATTAGTAAGGTAGAGATTGCATCGCGCTGGTGGTGTGTCGTACTGGTTATACCAGACACCTCCTACACAGCCTGTCGTTTGGAAACACTGCTCATGATCAGGATGATATCTTTACACGGGGCAGTACGGCGCAGGAGAAAAAGGGGGAGTGGACGAACAAAACGTACCTGAGCACAACAATCATAGCCAGTATACGCCGACGTATCGATCTCCGGCTGAGTCCCTTGTCCGCTACCGTTCTCACCAATGCCAAAGAATGTCTGGTTCGTACTACATGCTTGGTACACCGGATCGATTGCGGGAGCGGGTGTCTCGGTTGCTGTTTCGGTATACCTATATATACTCCCATTAGCATTCTCCCATCACTCAAGTCTCCATTGAAAAAGACGGCAGATTACTCACGTCGTAGTACTAGTCGTAATGACTGTAGAAGTACCCGTAATTGTGCTCGTAATCGTCGACGTAACAGTATTCTTCGCAAAAGCGACAGTAGACGTGCTTGTACTGGTGATCGTCGACGTCGTAGTAGATGTTGAGAGCGCTGATCCGGTAATAGTAGCAGTTATTGATGCCGTTCTAGTGAGTATCGATGGGTTCACCGAGACCACAAGCTTTGTACATCCCACGGAGGAAGGATAAGCAGTAGGCGAGCATTTCTTGTCTCTGCAAAAGTTGTCTGTGGGTGTGGATGTGATACTTGGCTTGGGGGTTGTTGGACTTGGTGTTGTAGTACTTGATATTGTACCAGGTGGTAGATTTATTGTTGTAGTTGTTGGGTCGGATGTAGCTGTTGATTCAGGTTCAGCTGAAATTGTTGCCTCGTCTGTTGTTTGGGCTGGTCCCAAATGTTAGAATTGGATGAATATGGATAATGTGAGACTTCGAGAGTAGTTTTGAAGGGGTTTTATTGAAATGAGAGGGGCGACTTACGGTTTGCGTCAGTTGATTGAGGGTCGTTGTCCCTAGCAGGCTGCGGCCCATTCGCGTATATGAAGGTAGGATTCGCAGGATAAAGCGTAGAAGTTGACTGAGCTAGGGTAGTCGTCGTCGTCGTCGTTGTGGAGGCGGTAGCTGTGACCGTAACTTGAGGTGGATTTTGAGCTTAAATTACATTTTTCAAAAGAGGAAGGGAGGGATATACTGGTTGTTTTTGTCGACGAATAGAGTGTCACGATTGAAGTATATGTGCCGCTTGTAGTGGTCGATTTTGCTGTCACACTGGTTATTGTTGCCGTTGATGTGACTGCTTCAAAGTTAGTATTCTAATGTTGGAAGGGTTGAGAGGAAAAGATATACCGCGCGTTGATGCTGGGGTAATGACACGAGTGGGCGTCTTTATAATCGCAATTCTGGGGGTGATTGCAATTGTAAATGCCTGAGTTGATGTGACTGGTACTCCAGACTTCGTGTTGTACCGTGTTCGACATGTTTGAAGGGTATATACAGTACTTGTTATAGCCGAGACATATGGAATGAGTAAGAGAAGGATTGAGAATAAGTTTGCAAACATTGTGCCTTATTTGATTGGGAGTTTGACTATTGAAAACATCTAGGGCATATGGTGGGATATTATATAACGCTGCATTTGAATCTCTTTACGTACTTTCTTTATTAGCATCTTCACCGCTTGTATTAACGCAGGGCGTGATTGAGGTTCTAGATCTTAGGCGGTATAATACTTTCTCAAGTTCAAATGCAGGTACGGAAATGATCTATATTATAGATTAAGCCTCTAGACGTTAGTTGAGCCACTACTATGTCAGGTTCAAATACAAGTACAGAAAATGATGCAGTTTTTAATTAACTCAATACATAGATAACACATCACATGCACTCTAGAAAAAAGAGTGAATGTCTATAGGGTTAATTGCATACGACGGAATAGGGGGTTGGGCTTTAGCGAGAGGGGTATTCTGTGGTGCACAAAAGGTGGATCAAGTATAGACTCTGATACTAGTAGAAGTTATGTATCAGCCTTATGTCGTCTGGCAACGGCTTTGATCTAACTACACACTCCAGTTTGTGGGGGGGGGGAACTTCTATTCTGCTCCTTCTGGATTATACGTTTATTTTATAAATTTGGCAGACTATGCAATACCCATGACAGCAAAGAAAATATTTCTACAAGACTTCTGTCTATTTCATCTGGAGTTCGCCTATATAATTTTCATACTGTCTTGATTTCTCTAGTAGATAGATAGAAAGCGATGGAAGCGGTCTACCTACACAATTTTGCTGCGTTAGGCATAAAGGTGGGACTCTCGCTTAATGTAACCATATTAGGTTAGAGTGAAGCTAAACCACGGGTCGCCAGTGCCAACTAGTTAAAGTGTTGACTTGCCGCTTGTCTTGGCAAAACTATCACGGCCAAAGTACAGATAAACCTGGATACGAGGATATACGCCTGAGGGCGGATTTGTTAAAAATATGACCAAGGTTATCCTTATAGTAACCTGAGGGTCTTACTACAGGTAATAACAAGGTGAAGAGCTTGAATGCTAAGGTAGGAATATATAATAAAGTACATAGTAAACCTTGTGTAGAATTAGTAATCTTGTAATTCTCGATGCTAGTGTTATACTAGGTATATTAATAAGGAATCCATACTACACCACTTAATTCCTAAGACTTATATAACTACTAAGGAGAAAAGTCAGAGCGGTTTTAATGTAATGATCTTTTGGACCTTAAAACTAATGATAATCCTTATATTCAGGTTATCCTCAACTCCGTATCTACAGTAAAAGAATCAGGCCCTAAAACTGAAGGATATAACCCAGGTTGTCCTTATACTGAGTACCCCAATGAAAAGATAATTTATTCTCATGAGCGTTCAGATGTACTACAGTGCCTTCACAGGATATCTATATCCCATTTTCGGATCGCCTAGGTAACGCTTGTAATGGTCAGGAAACTCTTGGGAAGAGATCTGTATCTCTGGGAATATTAGTTTGGAAACAACAACGTTTCAGTATTAGACTATAGACTGAAAGTAGGTTCATTTTATATCGTCTAACATTTATATTAGAATTATTGGCTGGTGATATTTATGCAAGTCTACAGATATTCCATGGCGTGTTTTGAGATTAGATTTTGAGTTTACATGTGTAGAATCTGTGAGTAAGAGATTTCTAGTTGATCGTGGCGTGGGTCTATTAGCGTTAAGGCTGTGTGGCTGTTCATAGAATTGAAACTAAGATAAAGGAACCGACCACTGGATCTCAAGAACTTCTGTTTTTTTCTTAGGTTCGCACAAAATGTTTTATCATAAATACTGCTAAGATCTGAAGTATGAGATAATAAATGCATATGAGTTCTTCACTTTGACTGCATTCTATAACACATCTGACTCACTGAATTAATTCAAATCGAGGATCATAGACAATATTGTCTGGAATAATAATAAAGTCCTCTTGAATGATATTTCCTGAATTGATTTGACAAACAAAACCATAAATTTTTTAAGCATGGGAATATTCAGGACACCATCAAAACGTTGTTTTCTTTGCCTAGAAAACTTCGCGTAAGTGCAAAAAATAAACAAAGTCACATGACCAAGCGTGACCTTAGTACCCAGTGACAGCAGTTCAACTCGCGATAATAGTACCTATGAGCCCATCGAAGGAGTGATTTGGTAGGACTCGTGTAAGGGCGATTTCCACTTATAAAGCAGAGTTTGTCTCGTCTAATCCAAGCTCCTTAAAACGTTTTCACTTACAAGTCACTACCATTCTGTGCGCGAGAGTGCTTAAGCCTTATTTTGAAGTAACTGTATGGGTAACGCTATATGCTTATTTCTCGAAGTCTAACGTCTTTCAATCCTATTATTAACCCTACATAGTTATTGCTTTGTGATTCGGGATTTGGCAAATCGACAACCTACCCTCTCTTTCTTAGTGTGGTGGTGTGTATGTTCTCACCTTGGGTTTGAGTAATTAGATTTCTGTTTCTTTTTCAAGTACTTGAGCATATATTAATCTATACTCCAGTGTTCTAAACCTCAGTTGGCCTTTGTATCTGCTCTGCGCCAAACGCTCTAGATACCATCCTGTGCTTAGCATATCTTCTGTGAACAGTCGATGTTCTCTAACCGATGAAGAGAGTCTCGTTGTTGCTTTATTAGCATTGATGCAGGCTAACCTTCTAATGGTCATTTCTCATGTGTAAGTAAGTCCTTATTATTTTCGATTGGACAACGGACTTCTATAAATATATTTGTATTTTGGTGAAAAGAAAGATGAGATGTAAATTCAACTACAAGGGGTATTGAGCACATCAATTTTCATCATCCCACTCATCTGCCGATAGACCCACTCCCAACGTGGCTTGAACTACTCCTCCCCCTCCAAGTTCGATAACTCATGGCCCTCGTCAGGATCGTCTGTGTAGTGTCCAAATACAATACTTTCCAATGCTGGCGGTTTTCTCGTTGAGAGCCTGCGTAGCCCAGGATCCGGCGGCGTAAAAGGTCTATATGACCCCTTTCTCCAAAAAGCACGAGTAAAGATCGGCGCGAGAACTGGTGCGTTGACCGCTACCGTCCCCACTATGATCTCACGCCATCCCCATCGATTGATGTTGATAACAGACGGTTTTCCGTTGAGCGTTTTTGCTGCTCTGATTACAGCGAGTGAAATCATGAAGATTCCTGATAATAGTAATAGAGACACACCAATTTTTCGCATACGGGAGGCTCGCAGGTGCCAGATTATTGGAAGAGGAATAGACATAATTGCGAAATCCGTCAGGACGTTGAAGATAACGGTAATCCAGAAGTTCTGGGGTCGAAAGACACACTCTGGCCCCGGGAATGGTTTGATTTGCCAGTTTGCTGAGTATGGTCGACAGGTGAAGGATATACTAAGGGCGAGAAACACGAAAGAGAGTCCCGTGACCCAAAAGAGAATTTTCAGTGTTGTGTTATTCCACCATAGATGCGATTTTAGGCGACGATAGAAGCATAGTACTTTGAATTTCAAAGTCCCTAGATGTGAGCGTTTAGTTGTTGGTAATATTTTCGAGAAGGTGAAGGATATGGGGACTTACAAAGACAGCCAGAATAAGTATACCACGAGATGAATTCCAACAGTGACCCAAACTCTAAAATCTTGATATCCCTATCAGGGAGCGTCTCCGCTAGCTCAGCGGTTATAATAATATTTGCTCCTGTATAATACGTGATTTGAACGACCGCCATGTTGATGGCACAACAAGAAATGAAGACAAGCGCGACGTAGTCATCACTCTCGAATCCTCTGCATCCAACAGTGCGAATCCGTACGGCATATCGGATTGTTACCACCAGAAGGGCAACCGTGAATAATGTCTGCAAGCCATCAGCTACTACTCGCACCGAAACAGACCAAGAATGGGACTCACCCACATCTCCGGGAGATATGTATTGCTTGTCTCTAGTGGAACAAGCTTGCTTGGTCCTTGCACCATAGCAATTCTCCATGTAGGATCAACTTCCTGAACCCATTTGATAAAGGAAAAGAGCATATGTCGTAGGTTATGAACGATTATAGAATAAAAAAGATATCCGGGCTCCCGCGATGTGCCCGGTCGGAGTCTGATAGATTCCATTAGCTTGAAGCTTAATCAACTTTTACCACGAAATAAGTTCTTTCAATCTCACAACCAAGCAACCTTATCGAAATAACCTGGGTATGGATCTGCCTTGACAGGTAAATGCTGTACTAAATTTTAGATATGTGCATGTATCCTAGCTATTTTAGCATCCTTGTGTATACCGGTAGGTGGGCAGGAGTTACTCCCGGTTCAGAACAATAATATTGTTAGTGTTTCAAATACGTCTAATGAATCGCGGTGCCTTGCATGTAAAAGTTTGCAGTTGTCCCGTCAGACGGGACTTGGACAGATTAAATGTGGGTTGAGTAGTCTTTCATACTTATGAGAGTAATGTGAAATGATCTCTTATCTACACCCCGTTTAGCTGGGGCACCCCATCAACTTTATTTACTATATTTAGGGACTCTTGGAACCTAGATTTAGACGTTAGTCTTTGCCTGATGTCAAGTAAAACAAATAAATGAATACCGTGGTAAATCGTCCTTAATAAAAATGGGTGAAATGGGTGGTAGATATGTCTCGTATGCTTGCTAAAGGGTAATAGAAGTTGGGACATCACTCTTTCAGCCACTTAAAGACCAGATTTCTGTGGGAACCTAGGTAGAAAAGACCGACTCAGATCTTCTACACCTAAGAAGAAGGCCTTCGCCGAAAACTACTAGCCACTCTAAGTGGCTCGGAGCATACAAGACATATCCACCAACCCCCTACCACATCCACCCATATTTGTTAAGGACGATTTGCCACGTTACTCATGAAAGAATCGTGAGATTTCGTTCACCCCACTTCAGCCAGCCTTGGGCTGTTAAAGCCTTTTCGCGAATAAGAAACCGCTACGAACTGTTTGAAAGTTTAACAGCCATGTATGCTATCTTTAAATCAAGAAGCAGAAGTGAACTTTGCCAAAAGGTATTGATCTTGCGAAGTGATCGACCCGAGCCCATCGAAGTCGTCAATTCCGTTGTCCCGTTGGCAGTCCCTGCGGTGGGATCCATAGAGGCTTGACTGCTGCTTATTTTGTTTAGAGGAAAATATGTGCGGGGTCGGAGTCTTATTTATTTTGACGTTTTCACCCTTTTACAAAATTTCTCGTAGGTGACGGCCGAACTCAGTTATCCCTTACTTTTTAACACCGAGGAAACCGGTAGGTAGAACGTCCTATTAGGCTTGGCCTTAGTACTTGCTAAACCTATTAAGGAAGTTCTGTCTACCAATTCCCTCGGTGTTACAGAGTAAGGAATAGTGCTAGTGGTTAAGTCTGAGCCATTTGCACTTTTTATACCATACAGTAACTCAGTAAAGTTACTTGTAGAAAAAGCATAACAGGCTAATAGAAAATAGAAAATCTTTCACAGAAAGTATTCATCTTAACGTTTCATCCCTTTCTATCCACTTTGGCTTTATTAGATAAAACAATCTATTTAATGAAAAGCGTATAAGGTAGTACCTTTATTACTTTAAAAAGATATATCGTTTTACACCAAATTCGGCCTAAATTTAGTACTAAAACAAGCACGTCTAGAAGATCACCATATATACAAATAAATAATTTCTTTATAACTCAATGAACCTATATACAAGTACTAAGAAGGCACTTGACTGTAAGGGTCCAGGAGGGATAAGGATTAAGGGGTTTATCTAGAGTGTATATACTTATAAGCTATTTAAAAGTAGGCAATCGTCGATTTTTGGTGGGGCTCGGCTAAATTGTTCAGACTTAATCGCATCGACTGTACCATAAAAAACGATCGACGCGGCATTTGATTGCAGAGCTCACCGCGAAAGAGGAAACTTCTCCACTCTCTGTGCCATGTGGCAGGAAAGACCGCGAATTGAGACGAGCTCACATGAGATATCCACTCTTGGCGTCTTCAAGAACTGCTGGACCATGTAAGGTTCATATGCCAATGTCCGCGTCCACTTCCACGTACCGATAACCTAGCTCAAGCTCCCAGATTGCACTTTCTACAGTCCATCACCTCCTAATTGCATCTAACCCTTCAGCTACACATTTTCTTCCGTGGTTCCTTCTCAAATTCGCCGACAGCAATCATTCTTCTCATCAGTTCATTTTCCACAATCCCAAACACCCAACTCAAATATCCTTTAATGAAAAAGTGTTTCCCTCGATACGAGACGTAACTCTCCATCCCAGAAAAGCTTAATATATGTACATTGGAAAGGGCGTGGATATCTCGGGTCTCCCCCTCCTCTGTATAAGACTTGTTATAGGGGCTGTATGGCCCCATAATATAGCCTTCTAAGCCAGTCGGATTGTCTAGTACATATGGAGGTATATCGGAAAACGACAAGGGGGAGGGAGCGAGGGGAGATCCGAGCTGTCCAGGGTTTCTAGCTAATAACCTTTTTTCGATCAAGAAGAAACGTGCGTGGACAGGTTCACCTGGCCGTTTGGGTCGAGTGCACGTGCTAGAGGGGGGTTGGTGCCTAAAGACTCTGCATGTTCCCAACAACTGAGCCTCACTTAGTAAGTTGATCATAGTCTTGTACGGAGTTAGGAACATTATTTCCGAGTACATCCCTATATCGGGTTTTCTACGTAGTATCGGGATTCTGACATGATCAAGTGAGATAGATAGGTAGAGATAGTCAGACCTGAAACCTGAAAGTAAAACGAATTAGGAATTATGGATTCATCTGTAATGTCAGGTGAGGACGGAGATAGGGAGTTCAGGAAGGGGGCGATATATATTGATAAGATACAAGCCACAGCTGCCACACGATGTTCCGCTCACTCCATGATAGACTGACAGACGATTGAGTTCTTCGAACCCAAATTCATTCATCTCAAGATGGTTCTATTAGCGTATTATGCATTTGAGAGAATTATCACAGAAGGGGTTCTTATTGGATCTTTGCAATCGAATTCGAAGATAAATACAGGCCGCGTTGTCGCCGCTGTATCTTGAAATCTATCTAATCATCGAATAGAACTTTCAAGTTGCATAACTATTAATGATTTTGTGGCCTCCCATTTACTTTTCTTCCCTGGAGAAGCTATAATAACTTACGAAAAAGGGACTCAGAGTTGAATAACATTATCCCGAAAAAAAGAGGAGTTGGTTCACGGAAGGGCGTGTGGGTTTGACTTGTCACTAGTATCCGGTAACTTGAACTGATTAAGTGTGCACCGCACAGTCGTTACGACAGTATATAGTTCCCAGCATCTCCAACATATTCCGAATTATGAGTACGTACCACTAGAGCAGTAATTCTCTTCCACGAGTCCTGCTTAGAAAAACTCGGCTTGATTATGAGGGAGGAAAAATATGATAATTATAGGTTCCTAAAGCCATGCGATTTGATTTCCGAAAGCGAGGATGGTATATGTTTACACTGTGTGACTTGAAATCCAACCACACTTAAACCTGGCATTTTGGCAGCAAGACCGTGTTCAGCAGCGATGCTAGCGAAGGCTTTTGGAAACATATCCAGTACGTGAAATCTAAAAGAAAGATAGTCGTATCAACGTAAGTAGCTGCAAGGTATTGACTTGTTTTCTGCTTAAAAGGAATAGGCCACAGCTTACAGTAATGATGCACAGCCACTCATCTGCTCTCAAGGCTTCTTTCTGGCCGGTGAGGTAATAGTCAGTGCGTCTTCCCATCTGCTCTGTCGCTAGCGCAGATGGGATGTCTTCAGAAGGCTGAGGCCTCGATGTCTTGATATAACGTTTGCTACTTGAGTGACCGAATTTCCCGTCTACTTGCCTTTTCTCATCCGCATTTTCTGAGTTGCAAAATTGGGTTTTCTTTTTTTCCCTTTCCAAAAAATAAGACAAAACAATAAAAACAGTACGGCGGAATGTAGATGTAGTCATTGAAGGTCTAGCCTGAAACTATATGCAGCCTCCCTATTATAGTAGAGGTGAAATACGCATTGCGTTGTAACTGCAGTAAAACCGCGAAATATCTAGATGTAAGACAAGTTAGAGGAGGGCGAGTGACCCCGAAACGGATTTCACGCTACTGTATACATTTGACGAGTCCAAAATACGATCATTTTACTTATACATCGTGTTTTATTGCAAAATATCATTAGAAACTTGATTCAGTATAAACTTCTGTTGGTACGAGAGATACTCGTAAATAAGGGTCAAAACAGTAGTAACAAAAGCATATAAAAGTTGGTATAATAGTTGATTAATTGATTATATAGAAAGGACAAGTACTAGCTATAAGTACTCGTATATACTAAGCTTTCCGATATCTACGTAATAAAAGTAGTAGATATATCGCAACACTAGGAGTACTTTACAAATTAGTTAAAATAGCCGAAAAACAGTAAGTAACAAAGTATAAAATAACTCTACAAATAACCGTAAAAATAATAATAGAATAATAATAAAATAGCACGCTCTTTAATCCCGTTCTACCTATCTGTAGCGAATACTCAAACTGGCTAACTAAACTTGGCTGGGTGTTCGCTGGTTGGTATGCTATGATAAGAAGAAGACTATCGGGTTGTTCACTTGGAAGTGAACTCGTTACTTGTATCAAAGATGTCAAACTAATATGATAAGATTGATAACTAAGTTGAGCACGAAGCTCCTATCTAATGGCAGACGTGCCAGTCTTATATAGAACCTTCGTTCTCCAAATGTCGTTCTACTCGATCGACGTGCTGCGACAGCGCGCTCGTCGCGCTGTCGCGCTTTTATCACGTGACTATGAATGCTATGAAATCCTTGGATACTCAACAACCCTGAGTAACCACTGCNGCGCGCTCGTCGCGCTGTCGCGCTTTTATCACGTGACTATGAATGCTATGAAATCCTTGGATACTCAACAACCCTGAGTAACCACTGCTATGCTATAACTACCCTGGATGTATCTGTCTTGTCAGAACGCCGTCTGGACTAACTCGTCACATGCTAACACGTGATTCGTGACACCTGGATGTATCTGTCTTGTCAGAACGCCGTCTGGACTAACTCGTCACATGCTAACACGTGATTCGTGACACCTGGATGTATCTGTCTTGTCAGAACGCCGTCTGGACTAACTCGTCACATGCTAACACGTGATTCGTGACACTATCCGACTCTATTAATATTAACATAATTTATATTAATTAGTTGTTTTAAGGCGCTATTTAACTTTAATTTAGTTATTAAATTAGCCGGATTATCCTTCCCCTTTACTAAGGAGATATTATTAAGATCCCTTGTTTCGAATATATTACGTAGGTATATTATATTAATTATTAGCCTCTTCTCTTTAGTAGTTCCTAATTTAGTAATATAATCGAATATAGATTTCGAATTAGTATATATTTTAAGTAGAATATAATAACTAAAGTATTATATTAAGGTAGTTTTAATATAAGTTATATAAAGTTATCTATATATAAGTTATAGATAGTATTAAAGTAGGTTATTTATATTTTCAAATTAGCCTCTAATAAATAAATACCTCGATTAGAAAGGATATTATATATAAAGGTTACCTAGGTTCTTTTATATTCTATAAAGTTGTATTTAGTCTATCTTATAAAGTTAACTTATCTTAGAAGGTAGCCTAGAGTTTATTATTATATAATTCTAATATATTACTATTGTAATAGACTATATATTACTATATATATTCCTATAGTAATTCCTATCTTATTATTATATTTTAGGAGAGTTAAGCCTAGAGGTTCTTAGTTATTGTTATATAAGAGTATTAATAACTAATAGTATTACTAAAGATAGTAGAAGTAATAAAGTTCCTAGTAGAAAGGCTTCTAGTTTTCCTAGAGCTTCTACGTTTGTTATTTAGTATAGTTATAAATCGATACCGGCTCCTATTCTAGTATTTACTATACTAATAGTATAAGGTATTATAGCTAAGATATCCTATTCGATTACTATAAGAATATAATAGTAGATATGGCTCGGCCTTAATATAGACTATATAGCTATACTACTTATCTAAGTAATAATTATAAGGGTATAATTTAAAGATACTACACTAAATATATAAAATACTAAGAATTATGTAATTTAGATTTATTATTCTATTAAACTATTAAAGTATTATTAAGGTTATACTTTAGTCTTATATTACTCGCTTAGCGATATTATTATATATACCGAAGGTATATCCTTAAATCTTTATAGTAGTAGGCTTTAATAGGTAATAATTATATACTCGTAGAAGTCTAAGAATTAAGTACGAGTCTAATTAATATTCGAGTATAATTATTATACTTTAAAGGACTCGAATAGCTTAATTAAGAGGTCAAGTATTAAAGATAATAATATAGGAGATTATTATATACTACCTAAACTTGCGGTAGTAATCTCTCTAATCTATGCGCGCTTACTAATCAGTGTTAGTACAAGAGATACTCGTAAATAAGGGTCAAAATAGTAGTAATAAAAGTATATAAAAGTTAGTATAAGTTATAGTAATTAGTATAAATATTATTCTTAGTATTATTAGAAGGATTTAGATTAACTGTCACGAATCAAGTAACGAGTTCACTTCCAAGTGAACAACCCGATAGTCTTCTTATCATAGCATACCAACCAGCGAACACCCAGCCAAGTTTAGTGTCACGAATCACGTGTTCACGTGATACTTGTCATAATAAAAGGCGCAACCCTCGACAGGCACATTCAGATTTCTTATAGCAAATGGGGATCGCTTAGGGTAGCTAGGCGATCCAAGGATTTCTTCCTTACAGAAGATCATGTGACTAGGGAGTATGAGGAAGTATAAGGGAGGCTTATACTACTCTATACTACCGGAGTATGAGGAAGTATAAGGGAGGCTTATACTACTCTATACTCGGACCATACGCGGGGTATGAAGGTTCTATATAAGACT